TGGAAGATGAGTTATACATTTTGAGGAAAATCCTAATGGAAAATGGATTTCCACCACGTTTTATAGATAAGAATATACATTCAAAGCCTACAAAACGTGACTTATCAACCGCTCCCAAGAAAATACTTTACATGAGCTTAGAATTCAAAGGGGACTTAGCTTCCGATATCATGAAACGAAGGATATCACAGTCCCTGAAAAGAACATTCCCTGCTGCCTCCCTGAGAATAGCTTTTACTAGCCGACCATTATTGTTCAATAACCTGAAGGACAAGATCCCAATGTTGACCAACTCTATGTGCGTTTATCAATTCACCTGCTCTTGTGGAGCTAGGTATATCGGTCGTTCGACTCGAGTTTTGTCCAAGAGGGTGCAAGAACATTATCCTGCATGGCTACGAAAAGGTGGAAGTGGAGCAATAAGAAGCGCGATCATAGAACATCTGGTCGAAAATGATCACCCTATCTCTATAGCCTCCGCCTTTAAAGTCATCTACAAGGCAAAGAGCAATCTACCTAAATCCCTACGTACCCGACTCATCTGTATTGCTGAAGCTTTGGCTATCGAAACAGAAAAGCCAGATCTCTGTGTACAGAAAAAGTTCGTTCAACCCCTCCAACTTTCATGGTCTTAATCCCTCTATGCTAAAATATGGTAATCCCCAATCATATTTTAGCTCTACCAATTTTTCATTTTGTCTATTCAATTTGTATACTTTTCCTTATTAAGTCAATTGTTATTATTACTATTCTCACTTTGAACTGTCCCCGGTATTATTTCACTTGTTCCACTTGTCATTCTAAATCAATTCTTTTTTACAACGATAAATTCTATGCTATTAAATTTCACACAATATTACGTAACGTTTTTGTTTTATTCGATTTGCCTACTAATCCTATAATTGCACATCCTTTTTCAAGTTCTATCCCTCCTATGAATTATTCTATATATGACATTAATCTGCTTTGCCACTTGACATTTAACTACGATTATAATCACAAACATTTTAGTTTTAATTGAACTTCATATGATTATTATTATTATTTTATGTATTCACACCTAAGATTCAATTCCCTCACCGGATATAACTTCTGATAAACCATATATATACGACTGTACAGCTTGATGATAAATTCGTTGAAAAGAGTCTCTTCGCTGAATCACTTGTTTTGATTTTCTAAATGTTACAATGGGAATTTTCCATGAGTTAAAAAATAGCAAAGATCCCTTGACAGTAAAGGAACTCAACGGGTTCCTGCGTTATTCTGTCAAACTTGCCGTGGTGAATGCAGAGATTTGTTTTCTTAATGAATGCATCAATAATCATGAGTATCCGAAATGGTATTGGAAAGTGCTCCGACGCAATCACATATATCCTAATGCAAAATCTCTCAAGAGACACGCATTGAATCACATTGATTCTATCAGTTCACGTATCCCTGAGCTAGAAAGGAATATATCACAAAGATCTTCTGCTCTATATGACTTATCGGTTGATGAACGTCAGACGTTTAATGATTATGTCAATGTGGTCACCAACAAACAAACTATGTCTTTTAATTCGAAGCTATCTAATAGCCTAAAACCTATCGAACGTCTTCGAAAATTTCCTGAGAATTCGGAGAGATACGTGTTCAACCACTCCTCTATATCTTTATCGAAATTACAAATGGAAGCCTTGTCTATGGGCTCGAAGTTTTGCGATGTTAATCTCAATATCAACAAGCTACATACTCATGTCCAGTTTGAGAATTTACTCAGTCAAACCTATGATCTCACACCATCGTCAGACCAGGATTTCCAATGCTTCAAATCTACCATTACGGACTCCTGCAATCAATACCTTAATGCTAGATCAAAAATGCAAAGTCTTCTTACTAAACAGCACAAAGAAGAACTTAAGCTTTTGACGCATAACAGCGATATACTATTAACACGCCCTGACAAGGGTACAGGTGTTGTTATTATGGATCGAAAAGATTATATCGATAAAATGTCATGTCTACTTTCAGACAGCAGTAAATTCTCGAAACCGAACGAGAAAAACAAGACGGAATTAATTGAGAAACAACTTACTGATACTTTAAAGAGAATGAAGAACAATCATCTCATTCGTGAAGAATTATACGAAAAGATCAGACCAACAGGATCTCTAATACCAAGACTGTATGGTCTACCGAAAATACACAAAGCTGGAGTTCCACTTCGCCCTATCTTGGATATGTCTGGATCGCCCTATCATCCAGTAGCTGGGTGGTTAGCTGAAATCCTCGAACCAGTCAGGGGGCAACTATCTAATCATTCCCTTCGGGACACCTTCCAATTTGTTGAATGTATACAGGATATAAATGCGTCGAATAAACAAATGTTGTCTTTGGATGTAGAATCCTTATTTACGAACGTTCCACTGACAGAGACCATATGTTTTATATGCAAATATATTGAAGACAACAAATTGAACATAGGGATACCTACTACAGATCTTAAAGAACTACTTTTGAGATGTACATTGAATGTACAGTTTACTTTCAATGAAACAATCTACAGGCAGAAGGATGGTATTGCGATGGGTTCTCCCTTGGGTCCTCTCCTTGCAGACGTTTTTATGTCCAGTCTAGAAAATGGTTCCCTGAAGCCTATGATCCAAAGCTTTCAAATATATAAAAGGTATGTAGATGACACCTTTATTATTTGTAATATTGATTGTAACCTGAATAATATATTAAGTGTATTTAATGAGTGCCATCCTGCGATAAAATTCACACTCGAAATGGAGAACGAGTCTAGCATTCATTTCCTCGATGTGAACTTATCAAGAAGGACCGATGGAACTCTGAAGAGATCGATTTATCGTAGGCTGTTATGGAATGGTCAACTGACAAATTTCTATAGCTGGGTACCTATTGGTCGTAAACGAAACCTGGTCCGGTCGCTTGCCACTCGTATTCGGCGCATATGTAGCACTGATACTGTGGAAGATGAGTTATACATTTTGAGGAAAATCCTAATGGAAAATGGATTTCCACCACGTTTTATAGATAAGAATATACATTCAAAGCCTACAAAACGTGACTTATCAACCGCTCCCAAGAAAATACTTTACATGAGCTTAGAATTCAAAGGGGACTTAGCTTCCGATATCATGAAACGAAGGATATCACAGTCCCTGAAAAGAACATTCCCTGCTGCCTCCCTGAGAATAGCTTTTACTAGCCGACCATTATTGTTCAATAACCTGAAGGACAAGATCCCAATGTTGACCAACTCTATGTGCGTTTATCAATTCACCTGCTCTTGTGGAGCTAGGTATATCGGTCGTTCGACTCGAGTTTTGTCCAAGAGGGTGCAAGAACATTATCCTGCATGGCTACGAAAAGGTGGAAGTGGAGCAATAAGAAGCGCGATCATAGAACATCTGGTCGAAAATGATCACCCTATCTCTATAGCCTCCGCCTTTAAAGTCATCTACAAGGCAAAGAGCAATCTACCTAAATCCCTACGTACCCGACTCATCTGTATTGCTGAAGCTTTGGCTATCGAAACAGAAAAGCCAGATCTCTGTGTACAGAAAAAGTTCGTTCAACCCCTCCAACTTTCATGGTCTTAATCCCTCTATGCTAAAATATGGTAATCCCCAATCATATTTTAGCTCTACCAATTTTTCATTTTTCATTTTGTCTATTCAATTTGTATACTTTTCCTTATTAAGTCAATTGTTATTATTACTATTCTCACTTTGAACTGTCCCCGGTATTATTTCACTTGTTCCACTTGTCATTCTAAATCAATTCTTTTTTACAACGATAAATTCTATGCTATTAAATTTCACACAATATTACGTAACGTTTTTGTTTTATTCGATTTGCCTACTAATCCTATAATTGCACATCCTTTTTCAAGTTCTATCCCTCCTATGAATTATTCTATATATGACATTAATCTGCTTTGCCACTTGACATTTAACTACGATTATAATCACAAACATTTTAGTTTTAATTGAACTTCATATGATTATTATTATTATTTTATGTATTCACACCTAAGATTCAATTCCCTCACCGGATATAACTTCTGATAAACCATATATATACGACTGTACAGCTTGATGATAAATTCGTTGAAAAGAGTCTCTTCGCTGAATCACTTGTTTTGATTTTCTAAATGTTACAATGGGAATTTTCCATGAGATGTATAATTGTCGATGGGACCCCTAGGTAGTAGTGAAGTAGTTGCCAGATGACTTCTTGATCGACGCTGTCGAAGGCCTATTCAAAGTCGATGAAGTTGAGATAGAGAGGTGACTGGCATTCCAAGCTTTGTTCAATGATGATCCGTAGAGTGGCGATTTGATTAATACATGACTTGTTTCTCCTGAGTCCAGCTTGTTCCGGTCGAAGTTTTTCATCCAGGTTGGCGTGTTTGATTCTCTCTAGGATGATTCGGCTTAGTATTTTGCTCGGGATGGATAAGAGCATAATTCCGCTCCAGTTTTTGCATTGACTTAAGCCTCCTTTTTTGGTAGTTTGAATAAGTATCCTTTCTTCCAATCCTCGGGTACTTTGATACGTTGAAGATACCAATTTGATTTCTTCAATACAATTTCGTAAATCTACCGTACCATGCATGCCTCCGTTAAAAGAAAATTTTGTGAAAAATTTGTATTATTTTTTTATGAAGTGTTAGTCTCTAAGAGTGTGAATTGATTTCAAGGTAGATTCCATCACGAACCATGATCACTTGTCTCACTGTATATATACAGTGTTTCTGTCTAACATTTTGACTGTTATTTGAAAGAGTCAACGTTCCCTTATAGACGTCCAGTCTTTTCTTTTGTTTTTGCTTACCGGCGGTGTTAATGTTGTTGTGGTTATTGTTGTTGCCGTTGATGTGAGATTAGGACAGATTAGCCAGCGCTTTAAGTTAGCTTGTGCGCTTGTAATTTACTAGGTCGTACTTCCTTCCGATCATGACAGAATCTTAATATATTTTGAAGACTTACCTGATTGAACGATCTTGTCGTACCCTTTAAAAATGAACAAGAACATGTATTTAGCATCTTCCATATTTCTTTCGACATCTTTCAGTGATGATGCTTCGCATGATTACATCACTGAATATGTGTTAAAAAACGTCCTGAACCAAGAGGTTGTAACTATGCAGGGGAGACACCACAGCATTCGTCTATGAGATCAAAGGCCTCCAAAGAAAGCACAAAGAAAATCGCCCTATCATGTATAAAGGACATCTCAGAAATCACTGCAAGACTCTTCAAAGCTTTAGGAATTGATGTAGTTCACAAACCACTCTTCTGGCTCTATGCCAACCAAAAGACTCACCAATGAAAGAAGATAAAAGTAGATAAAATCATCTACAAAATAATTTGCAATGACTGCGAGAAACATTACATTGGCCAAAGTGGATGACGTCCTCTTCGTCTTCATATCCATGATCATAAACTAACTGGCCGTCACAGGATATGATATCCAACCCCTCATATCGCCTCACTGCATACTGACAACCACGGATATAAATTCGACTGAGGGAACACGAAGAATGCTGGAGAATTTTTAGAAGCCAGTCTAGTATTCCAGTGAATCGTCATTCCAATAGACACATCGAGATAGACAAAATTTATCAACCGATAAGGAGAAAACCTCACACACACACACACAAAGAGTGAAAGTTCAAGTCGACGGAAAAGAAATCCGTTCTATTTTCAATACAGGAAGTAACCTGAAGTGTGTGGAAAAACACGTAAGTAATCAAACACGACGTTCAAAGTCAGGTCATTTCAAACTGAAATATGCGGTGAAGATGTTGCCTAGTTTGGCGGGGGGGGGTGGGTGGGCAACGAAAGCTTCGTAAATAAACTATCCAGCTCAGAGAACACAACCGCCTGAGCTACAAATCTTCTCCATTGTTTATATACTTGATGGTATCTAATAAAACAATTTGTCTTGTAGATTCAGAAGGCTGTATCTGGATTTCTTTAGGGTAACTTACTGTTCCATTTTTGAAAAATACTCTCCTCAGCTGTTTTTATACTCAGCTACGAAAATCGCATTTAACAGATTTCCCCTTTGTTTGGCTAAACGATCAACCGTCACTCAGAATATTTAATAAAAAAATTGAAAACTATTTGAAAAATGCATGATTACACGAAATCAGCTGTCAAACATGTGTTACTTACAAAATGTTGGGCTAAAAGATACGCAATTCATTTTTGAAATATATATATATATATATATATATATATATATCATGAAATTTTTGAAACTATGAGAACTCATATGGACCAAACACACACAAAATTCCATCATGAGCACTGACATCAGTTAGAGAACTATTCGAAAAGAAGCTGAGAGCACCGAGCAACTGTTCTGTCGGCCTATTTTTAGACTCTTCAGCAGTACGCACCCACCAGTGGAGGTTTGAACTCAAGAGCTCCTGGTTACAAGTCCACTGGGACCCAATCCAGAAGTTTGTGGGTTCGAACCATGACAATGGGTGTGTACTAATACTAAGTCTCAAACTAGTGGGACGAAACAGCTGTCCAGCACTCCCTGACTGGTTTTCCAATGGTTCTTTAACTGATATCACCTCATGATGAAATCATTCAGCAAATTAAACAAAATCCCTACAAAATCAATACTTCAACACAAGAAACTTGAAAATACCATAACTAGAAGTATTACTGTTAGAAATTTAAACAGACCAACGCATTGGATCGCATCAATGTGCAAAAATATTAGTTTAGTTTTTCTGCAGTGCATATGCTTGAATCAGCCATACCATGCATTCATCCTTAGAACATTTTGTGAAAAAATAGTTTTTTTCGAAGTCTTTTTTTTTCTAGGCATTTGGATTAATTTCAAGGTAGATTTCATCACGAATGAAAATCAGTTGAAGGAAGAACTACTGGAAGTCAGAGTGCACTGAGCAACTGACACTTCCTAATTTCTTATGATTCAGAAAGGTACACCCAGTATATCTGGAGGTGTCTAACTCATGACCTTCACGTTAGGATAGTAATTACATCACTATTTAACTTTTAACATTTTTTATTGTTCCCTTGGGTTCCTTCCTAGTGGAACACAGGGCTTCAACTCCACGTCTCCACTTGCCACTTCTGTCTTCCTTCTGCCGCTGTACATTTCACCTGCATCCATCCATGTAAGTCCACACTGTTTCAACTCCTCTTCACACAATCTCCTCCATGTTACACTTGCACTGACGTCCCACTCGCCGCGTGCTTCCATTTCGGTCTGGTCCACTCGAGTAATGGCCTGACGCGCGCGCGATGTCACCCAGCGGCCGCCTCCTCAGCCACGAGTGTCTAATCCATCTCCACTCCATCTCCCACATATTTGTTGGTTGGCGATTGGTTTGTTCTTGTTTTGTTTGTTTGCTCCCATAGTTTCCTGTTGCTGATTCACTCCGGCCCGGCCCGGCCCGGCCATCTGATCTTCAATATAGAGCGAAGATATTTGATTGTTCGTAAAGGTCTGCAACAGGCTGTTGGAAATATTCTTTGTGACCCGCCCGCCAAGTTTCTCATCCGTTCCGTATAGAAGAACTGACTGACTTGACGTGTTTGTTTGCAAAATCAAACAGAATGTTGTTGTTGGTGCTGGCTGGGTGACGAAGATTTCCTCATTGGTTTCAGTCAGGTTGATGAATGTGTTTCTCGCTCGCCTTCCCGATTCTCACTCGATTTGACATTCTCCTGCGTTCCGAGTGGCTGTATTTGAGACAATGCTCAATGCTAGATAAGTGAAGTGAATGAAGTAACCTCTTTCAAATCCCTCCCTCCCGTTGATGGTGATTGGCGCTGGATGTTGCTCCTGCTTCTGTTGTTGTTGTGGTGGTGGTTGGTTGGTTGTTTTCATAACCTCCGTCTCGTCTATGTTCACTTGGAGTCCTGTCTTCGCCGGCTGCTTCTTCGAACAGTTTGTCGGCTTTCGCTTGAAAGTCCTCGATTTTGTGTGAGATCAAACATAAATCATCCATGGGCGAAATCAAGGTCTTCTGGGTTCTTCACATCGGTCAGTCCAGGGTATACCTGTCTTCTCGTTTCCCACTCATTGTCTGAAGCATAATCTAGTCAGCCCACCACAATTACGAATATCATCGTGGGTGATAATAAGCACCATTCATTTACTAGACTGAAATTTCATGGACAGTAAGTTATGATTTGCTACTCCTTAGTATAGCAGCATCAACGAATATCTGTCCTCATACCCAACCTTTTTGGGCTCCACCCTTTCATGATATCTTACAAGAACTCCGTAAATGTCACTTACATACACCTAATTTTTCCAAAAACCTTAAACTACTACTACAACCTTTATTTAGAATAATCCGATTTATACATTTCCCACCACCCGCTTATCACACACTCCTGAATCTTACTTCCTTATCATCGAAATCAGCGTTTTGTCGACATCTTTTAAACCCTACATATATTTGAAACTGCTGTCAAGCCTTTTGCGGTGTTGATTAGCGGCAGTAAAAGATATCTAGCTAAGAGTCTGACTTCATTCTTGCTTGGTTTGTTGGTGGTGGTGGTTGCTTATCGCGAACACGAACAGTGATGTTAGAACAGAGGGCATGCGAATCTACTACATAAGAAAGTTGGTTAACTCAAGACAAACTGATAAAATATCAGGCTCTACTGAAGATCGCCATATCACTTGTCATCCTGTTGTCAATCAATCCTGAGTAGTGGAGTAATCGTCAACTGATAATTTATAAATTATTTTTTACTAATTTTGAAGTAAATTTCGTCACAGATTGGAATTTCATTTTTTTTTTCTTTCATGAAGCACAACATGAAACACACTGACTAAACATTTATAAAGTTATATTTGTAAAATCTCAGCGAAATTGAAATGATTAATTCCAACGTTTCCTGAGTTCAGCAATCTGCTCCGAACTTCTTCAGGGAAATTAATCGAAGTTAACATAACAAAGGTTTATATATAAAAGGGGGACACCTCTTGCTTTCTTTTTTAAAATTTTGTCCAATCATGAGCCATGCAACAGGTATCAACATGTATACTAAATAAATAAATAAATAGAATTGTATGTTTATATATAAAAGTACATCTTTCATTATAATAGAGGTTTTTGTATTTCCCAATGAATAAAAAACAAAGCGATATTGCTGGTTTTACTGACGTTTCGCTATTCAATGCTGCTGCTAATAGCTTTATCAAAGTATTACTAATTAATCTAGAATTTACAAAATCCACTTAGCATATATATATCACAAAGAGTTAAGGGGTGAGAAAATAGACTACTTAAGTCAAGTTAAAAGGACATATTGAAAGTCAAAATAACAATGAAGATCACTAAACCAAATAACAAAGGTAACAGTACGTCTGTTATGATATCAAATTAAAGTTTACTAGCTGGATCATCGTTCGTCTGTCTGGGGTCATTTTACGTCGTCAAGTTGGCCAATTGGTAAAGATAACAAAATCAAGTGTAGATTGTTGGATTTGATCAGTGTGTAGAATTATGAAAGTAGTGTGTGTTTACATAGTGAACTTGCTTTCACATTTGTGTTGATTTTGCCACTTCATGGGGGAGGGGGTTGTTGAAGCCAGGTCAGATTCTGTTTTAGTCCATCATTCCTATTCAGTCAATTCGGATTCCACTTGATATGAAGTGCTTATTGATGTGAGACGTTCTTTGTGATTTCTGAAATGCTTTTTCTGGATGATGATTTCAATATTGTCAAAATCAATTTGTGGTCTGATTCTGTAGCGTGTAGACAAGCTATGGCTGATGATTTCTCAAGTTTTTCTAGTTCACTTGGATTTCTTGGTGGTCGAAGGGATGCTCTACGGTGTTCATTTCTTCTGATTATGATTTCCCGAGATGTTTGTCCGATGTAGATCGCATCACATTCCGAGCATTTTATTTTATAGACACAATTAGATAGAGAATTTTTAGGGATTTGGTCTTTTATATGGACAAGGTTGTTTTGAAGTGTGTCCTAGAAAGCTATTAGCATTAAATAGCGAAATGTCAGGAAAAACAACAATATCGTTTTGTTTTTCATTCATTGAGAAATACAAAAAGAAGCCTTTATTATAATGAATATCATATACCCAATGCCCAAATTTTTTCAAACCGTTAAAAGTGAACTTGGTTTGGACATGTATTAAAGTATATCTCTTGTTTTTAAATATGTATCAAGAAACAGCTATCAATGGGTATACTAAACAAAACAAAACAAAAATTGTATGAACTATGATCAAAATATGTTTTTGACCTGAGACTTTCAAAATTTGTCTACTTTTTTGTTAATATATATATGTGTATATGCAGTATATGCAGGATACAATGGTGTGTGTGTGTATGTGTGTGTGAGTGAACAGTCATAAAACATTTGCTATTCTCATCCCGGGCATCTAACACCTTACACTTATTACTGGTGAAGGTTAAGGATGAAATAGAACAAGAAAACCAGCAGAATTGCGTATACCAGATCAATTGTGGGGATTGTAACGCAGTATATGTAGGAGACACTTCTAGACAGGTAAATATAAGAATGAAAGAGAATAAACAATGTCTAAAGGTGGTTCCAAAGAGCTCTGTAGACTTGAAGAAGCTAGAAAACAACTCAGCGATTGCACTGCACTGCATTCAATAGAAACGGGACACAAAATCGACTTTGATAAGACTTTGATTTTTTACAGAAAGGTTTTGGTTCATATCAAGAAAGACTGACTTCAGAAGCCCTACATATATGGGTGAATACCCAACAGTTTAAACAAATGTGAAGGTGTGATGTTAGCTGATACATGGGAAATCTTGACTAATAAATAAAATTGGATATGTATCAACAAGTAGTCACACTTGGTCAAATTCCCGATTATCTACGTCTTCTTATGGAGAGAATAACAAATTTATGAAAATTAAATCAAATGATATTTGTAAAAATCTCAATTATTTTCCAACTATCCAGTCAAATCTTGATCACAGCTCATATGAGAATAGCAAATGTTTTATGACTGTTCACCCACACACACATACACACACACACCATTGTATGCTCCATATACTGCATATACACATATATATTAACAAAAAGTAGACAAATTTTGAAAGTCTCAGGTCAAAAACATATTTTGATCATAGTTCATACAATTCTATTTATTTATTTAGTATACATGTTGATACCTGTTGCATGGCTCATGATTGGACAAAATTTTAAAAAAGAAAGCAAGAGGTGTCCCCCTTTTATATATAAACCTTTGTTATGTTAATTTCGATTAATTTCCCTGAAGAAGTTCGGAGCAGATTGCTGAACTCAGGAAACGTTGGAATTAATCATTTCAATTTAGCTGAGATTTTACAAATATAACTTTATAAAATGTCTACTTCTCACTCAGCGCTCGCTCAATTATTTTGCAACTATCCGGTCAAATCTTGATCACAGCTCATATGAACATTGGCTAAACTTGAAACGTTTGGATAAATAACTTATTAAAATAAACAACTTACAACTCTGCTGCGTCCAAGGCGCTTTAATGAATGAAAAAGACAATTATAATAATAACAATAATAATCCATGTATGTAGAGTATTCAGCATCTGACGCGTTCTACCGAAATCTGATGAATCCATCATTAAATCCTGCTTTATTAACACAATATTTGTTGCTTGTTTTGAATTAGTATCGGGAAATAAATGTTTTCAATTTCATTGTAAGTATATAAAAAGGCCTCAGTTCTTGATATTAGATGGGTGGACACAAGAAGCCTTAAACCTACCTTTTGGTGTCAGTTGACACTCACCAGTCAGTCTTGAAGGAACCCATGTCCCTTCTGAAATCTAAACTCAGATCATTCAGTACTGCTGACAGCGATATTCCCCCTGAGCTATTCAGGCTGATTCGCGTTCATCCTCCTGTAGGACTGACTGTATTGGATACCTTGATTGGACACTAGTCAGTGACTAGTGTAGTCTGTCTACTCCTCTGTCTGGTTCGCAATGTGTCCAGCATTCTAGGTTCAAGGCTTCCTGTGGTCGATTGCCTCCAACCATCAAATATCAACAGTTTTACAATGCAGTGCATAATGATGGCAAGGCACCTATTAATATATGTGTAAACCTTGGGCAATGTGTTAGTAAGTAATTCCATATTAGTTTGTTTATTAGATGTATCACACACAGGGAGTGAAACAATATTATTTGCTGGGTGATAAAGTTTCGAACATAATTTATCACTGTTCATAATCATACCAATCGATTGTAATCACACAACTTTGAAACTTGAATTTTGTAGTTTTCTTTGTCCTCTCCTATTTGTCGACATTAGTGTAGTAGAATTTTGCAGATATCCAAATGGACAGGTGTTGAATCATCCCTATTACACATATTCTGTATCAGTAGATTCGATAAGTAAAGCTTCTGTTATCAATCTCTCCCTCCACCTAGCTGTTACATTAGATTTTAAAACTATCATCTTATCCCATCCCATCCTATTATATGGTTGGTTGTGTGTAATTGTATGTGTTGAGTGCTGTAGCTGAACTATGCTATTCTCCAGATATCTTATCTTATTCAAGTCAACTAATCTACATTTTGCTGCTGGGTTTTTATGCTCAGCTAGTCTGACTGACTGACCTTAGTCTATAACCATGAATGATGTATTTGACCTGACAATCATTGCAAACAAGGTATAAGATAAACTAAATTGTTCTGTTTAATTGGCTCAACTGTCAGGATCCTCTAAACAACAAAGCTTGTTTCTAATTGAGTCTGTGGGTGGTTTGAATGCCAGCCACTTTTATTCCTGCCTGCCTTGTTAAGAATTCTGCGTAAGGCTTCCGAGGTTCCTTCTTTGTATGGAATTACTACTGATGATTTAGATTCCCTATTGTTGGTGTCGTCATTAATATTATTATTATTATCATAATTAGTGTTATCATTATTTAACTAGTGATGATATCATCAATTAGAAACAAGCTTTGCCGTTTAAAGGATCAATCATGTGGAGCCTTTAAAACAAAACAATTTAGTTTATCTAATACCCTGCGTGCAGTGATTGCCAGGTCAAATTAATAGAACAGGGGCAGTTATTTAGACTAGCCGAACATAAAAACCTAGCGAAATCTAGATTGGTTGACCCGAATAAGATAAGAAATCTAGAGAATAGTTCAGCTATAGCACTCACTGCATGCAGTTACACACAACCATACAATAAGATGATGGTATAAGGTATTGTGGTGAGAGCAGGCTGCTAGCCGATTGGTTGACACTAATCTACGTCAATGTCTAGGTCACTAATATGGTCCGTGAGAAAATATGAACAAGGCTGTTTCAACAACCAATCACAGCAAACTTAAACATGGACAAATATGATTCGCAGATAGATGGCTCCACTTTCCGAGAAATATCGAAAACAACCAATCATAAGACTGTGTTTGTCTGCTTAACTTCCGTGAAACAACCAATCAGAAGACTGCCTTTTTCTGCTTGCATAAGCCTTATTAATGTACATAAAATATATATAAATACGTGTTGATTTTCGTAATAAAACCATCTGTTGCCAGCCCTTGTCTTCTGTTGTTACAATATCAGTTTTAAAATCTAATGTAACAGCTAGGTGGAGGGAAAGATTGATAACAGAAGCTTTGTTTATCGAACCAACTGCAAACACATGCAATAAGAATGATTTAACACCGGTCCCAGAAATACTGGAAGATTCTCCTACTCCCACGACGATAAATAGGAGAAGACAAAGAAAACTACAAAACTCAAGTTTCACAGTTGTGTGATTACAATTGATATGATTATGAACAATAATGAATTGTGTTCTAAACTGTGTCATCCAGTAACTAATGCTGTTTCTTCACTATGTGATATATCTAATAAACAGACTGATATGGCAAGGCACCTAGATTAGTAGCCACACTGTATACGCGACTGATTAGATTCGGTCTGCATCAAACAAAGGTCTAGCTAGATAACACTAATTACTAACATGTATCCAATCAAAACCTTTGACTGACCGACTAGTTTCAACGTAGTACTTTGCATAGACGTGAAGCAATTCAAGTTGTCACAATCCCTCAATGCACCATACAAAACAAGAGAATATAGTAAGAAGACATTCAAAAGAGAGATAATAAAGAGAAGTGTGAGTGTGTGTGTGTGGGGGGGGGGTGGAAGAATAGCAATACGAATATCACAAGTCACAAAGAGTGAATGCATCTGCGTCATCCGTTGACAACGATTTTGAGTGATATCAACAATTGTCTCCAGTCGCATTGGCTTCTTACATTCTGATAAACCAATTCAAAGAGTCAGTCTACACCTGCCTATGTGGCTGGTTGCCTGGCTTAAACTAACTGTTGTGAATTTCATTGACTGATTGATGAAGCCATGTTTTATGTCGTTTGTCAACCACTAGCTCTCTCTTTTCAAACCTAATCAATCCTATGTCAGTCAGCTAACATTGCCTGTTCTCGAGGCGGGCGTTGGATGGCTAGGATATGTATGCATGCGTAACACGTGTACTAACCCTCTCAATCCATGCAGCTGCTTCAGAACCTCGTAGATTTGTTTTCACTCCAACCTACCTAGCACTCAACCGATACTTAACCCCCAAAAATTGCTCACCTTATTATACCACCAGTTAACACGGGAGATAGAATGCAGACATTTATGATCCAAGACGGTTAGCTGGCCTTTTAGTATCTTCCACTTTCAGTGACCATGTTTCTAAGCCATTCATAGAGGAGGACGGAGGGTTTTGGTTAGCAATATTCACGTCCTTTGGTTGAAAGCCAGCCGGATATCACGTCTACTAGGCTAGAGGTAAAGAAAGTTGGCAGGTAACTGCCAACCAAGCCTTTTGTGTGCGTGCTGAGATTTCGTCAACGATCAACACACTGGAGTTGGCTGATTCAAATTCTTAAATAGGCGAAGTGGTCAACACGCTGCACCAACTACTTCACTCTCTATCTTTAAGGTAGATTAAAACCTTTAGTTCATATTTAGTTATATTTTTTAGAGCGGCAGTGATTACCAACTGACAAGATAAGATATTCTTGCTGCCTATTCAAGTACATAAGAATAAACATGACCAAAGTTCAGTGTTTCAATGCCTTTGCAGCATGTCTCACACTGTTGTTAATCAAAAACGTTTACTTCAAGAAGACCACAATTAGCAAAAACAGAATAATTGATGGATAATAACTAGCAGTAAAATCCAGTCAGGATGCGCATTTCGTCCCATTTGAGACTCGTCACCATCTGGATGTATATGCATTCCCTTGTAAGTCATGAGGTTCCCACCGAGGCTCGAACCTCACTGAGGAACACAGACACATTTAGCTGGTGGATGAGTCCTAAATAGCACGACTGACTGGATTCCACTACTAGTCACTATCCACAAATGATATTCTGATTAAATGCCTAGATGTCGTCGAGGCATTTGCACAAGAAGCCGACCCGTCAACCTGAGACCGAGCACTTCGGTCCAATCAATCGACAGGAAAATTTAAAATTCAATTAAATAAAAATAACTTAGTTTAGAAACCAGAGATTTATTGATGACCCATTTTAACTGCATCCGGGCTCATTTCTACTATTTCTGTCGCATATCCTAGGAAAGAAAGTTCTCATAGTAACTTTGCTATGTTAGGTTACTCTAAAGCAACTATGAACCTCGCCTAGATTACTAGCTCGCTAGTTTTCTAGCAGGTCGTAAACCCGGATAAAGACCTAGAGTTGGGGCGTGATGCTAGCAACTCCACCCCCTAAACTCAACCAAATGTCTACAGAAACTACAATGCACCAATATATTAAAAATTCTAAAAATATAAACAATAACCTCATTTTCCACTGGAATCGGGGTAGTGAAATGACACAGGCTGGTGAAAGCCTTCGGGAAGCCAGTCAGCCGATGTGCCTTCTTTCGATGAAAGCAAAAGTAAGGATGGGTACCTGGAATGTTCGTATAATGTACGAAACTGGAAAGGCTGACCAGGTAGCCGCTGAAATGAGAAGATATAGAGGAGAAGTTTTGGGAATCTGTGAGAGCAGATGGAACGGAATTGGAAGGTGCCAACTACCAACTGGAAAGACAGTAAACTATTCCGGTCACTTGGAGGCCAACCATGAGCACACCGAGGGAGTGGCCATCATGATGTCACCGAAAGCAGCCAAAGCTCTTATGCAGTGGGAACCAATCTCTTCCAGAATAATGACAGCCAGGTTCAACTCAAAAGGAAAGAAGGCTACAATCATCCAATGCTATTCACCTACAAGCGTCTCGGGACAAGAGAAGAAGGAGGATTTCTACAGACAACTACAGACAGTAATGGACAACGTCTCAAACGGCGATATCAAAATCCTGATGGGTGATATGAATGCGAAACTGGGAGGAGATAACACAGGAACAGAACTCACCATGGGTCGTTAGGCTCTCGGTGAGATGAACGACAATGGTGAACTCTTCTCTGACTTCTGCGCCTTCAATGATTTGGTGATTGGCGGTAGTGTGTTCAAACACAAGGATATACACAAGGCGTCATGGATTTCACCAAATGGACACACTGAAAACCAGATTGACTTCATTTCAATCTCAAGGAAGTGGAGACAGCACCTACTGGACACAAGGTCAAGGAGAGAAGCAGATGTGGGTTTAGACCACTATCTAGTATAAGAGACTTACAAGGTGAAACTAAAAGCCTCAAGAATAGCTGGGGATAGGCCACAATGCAAGTTCAACACTCAATTACTGAAGGACACAACCACAAATGACACTTTCACTGCAACTATCAGAGCAAAGCAGGAATTACTACGTGACATCACTGAAGAATCATGCATGGAAGACCATTGGAACTCTCTAAAGACGATCCTCAACGAAACGTGTTCAACGGTTCTAGGAAGAAAGAAGAGACAAGACAAGGAATGGCTCTCAATGGACACTTGGAAATTAATAGAAGAGAGGAGAATGGTGAAAGAGAAAATGATTCAATGCAAGGACGGACAGGAGAAGGAGACGCTGAGCTCAACTTACACAGCACTGGACAAAGAAGTGGAAAAGTGTGCTAGGAAGGACAAAAGACGATTCTGGATACAGAACTCCGACCAGAACAAGCTGGATTCAGGAAAGGCAAATCATGTTCTGACCAAATTGCTACTCTACGCATCATCATCGAACAAAGCATGGAATGACAATCAAAACTCTACCTCAAATTTATAGACTTTGAGAAGACCTTCGATAGACAGCGTTGACCTCGAAGTAATTTGTAAATTACTCGAGTACTACAGCATACAGTGCCCCTAATATTCACCATCAACCTTATTTAATAGCTGCTGTACGACAACGTGATATGTCAGGTGAACCACAACGGAAAACTCAGCGAGGTGTTTGGAGTAAACACAGGAGTCAGACAAGGGTGCTTATTATCATCCACGATGATATTCCTGATTGTGATGGACTGACTGGATTATGCGTTAGACAGTGAGTGGGAAACGAGAAGACAGGTATACCCTGGACTGACCGACGTGAAGAACCCAGAAGACCTTGATTTCGCCCATGGATGATTTATGTTTGATCTCACACAAAATCGAAGACTTTCAAGCAAAAGCCGACAAACAGGTCGAAGAAGCAGACAGTGAAGGCTGGACTCCAAGTGAACATAGACGAGACGGAGGTTATGAAAACAACCAACCAACCACCACCACAACAACAGCAGAAGCAGGAGCAATATCCAGCGCCAATCACCATCAACGGGAGGGAGGGATTTGAAAGAGGTTACTTCATTCACTTCACTTATCTAGCATTGAGCATTGTCTCAAATACAGCCACTCGGAACGCACGAGGATGTCAAATCGAATAAGAATCGGGAAGGCGAGGGAAAAACACATTCATCAAACTGACTGAAACCAGTCAGGAAATCTTCGTCACTCAGCCAACATCAACAACAACATCCTGTTTGATTTTGCAAACAAACACGTCAAGTAAGTCAGTTCTTCTATACGGAACGGATGAGAAACTTGGCGGGCGGGTCACAAAGAATATTTCCAACAGCCTGTTGCAGACCTTTACGAACAATCAAATATCTTCGCTCTATACTGAATATCAGATGGCCGGGCCGGAATGAATCACCAACAAGAAACTATGGGAACAAACAAACAAAACAAGAACAAACCAATCGCCAACCAACAAGTATGCAGGAGAAAATGGAGATGGATGGATTTGACACTCGTGGCTGAGGAGGCGGCCGCTGGGTGACATCACGCGCGCGTCAGGCCATTACTCGAGTGGAACCAGACCTAAATGGAAGCACGCGACGAGTGGGACGTTAGTGCAAGTGTGACATGGAGGAGATTGTGTGAAGAGGAGTTGAAACAGTGTGGACGTACATGGATGGATGCAGGTGAAAAGTACGGCGGCAGAAGGAAGACGGAAGTGGCAAGTGGAGACGTGGAGTTGAAGCCCTGTGTTCCACTAGGAAGGAACCCAAGGGAACAATATTAATCGTAATAAAAGCAACTATGTGTTTGAAGCTGCGACATAGGCATTGTGAAGAGATAATTAAAAAAGCTTACAAGTTTTCATTAAATCCGAAGCTATTAAACAAAAGGTAGATTAATATCATTAAAAAGTTGAAGAATTTCCGGTAATTAGCGCCTAAATACAATTTAAATCAAAATTTAAAATTTTCAGTTTCATTTTTTATGAAATAATGTTTGATGAATTTATACACATCTACACCATGGATGCTATAAATAAATGCTCTTTAGAATACATTCGCCATTGAATCCCATCACAAATACAGTGCAGAATGTTAGGAAATAAAGAATCGACAAGATGGACCTAGAATTTCAACTGGTAAACCACTGGACTAGGAATTCGTAGGTCGTTCGCTGACTGTAATTCTGCATGAAGCTAGATTTGTCTTCCATCTTCAGTTATTACTCATTATATATATAAATAGTAGTCGATTGGTCTAACAGCCAGCTATTCTTAGTCACCTCACCGTCAAATATCAAAAAGAATATAACAAAATAAACTTAACAAAAATCCATTTTTCTGTTTGAGTAAATTGAATATTCCCGTAATTTATTCAGAACAAAATAGTTAGAGCGAATAATTGTGGTTTCAATAAATTCTTCCCTCTTCAGGCTCTACAATTAATTATAAACCCATTAATTTAAGCATACAATAGCCAGCCAGCCAGCCAGACCATAGAGGCAAATTAGAGTCATATCAGAAAGTGTATTGTGGAACAAATATAAGTAAGATGGGATGGAACAATAGTCAGTTAGCTTTCTAATATGCATCGTCAATGAGAACATGGGACAAAATGAGATGAAGTAATTTAATTTAATGATGTATATATATATATATATATATATATATATATACAAACATAGTCGACAGAAAATACAGGTTTCGATAGCCCACATGGTAGATACTTGACACCTGGTAAAACTTGACCAGGTGTTCTCAGTTATTTACCACGTTCCTAGTAATTTATCTAGAGGAGCTCAACTACATCTTCTATCGGTAGCTGAAGCAGTTGCAATTAATGCCAGAAGACCAACTTTTTGTATACAGAAGAAGTATGTTCACAACGTCTATGTTTACCTTGGCCTACAATAAAGCCGACAAATCCTCCATAAACATGAACACTATAAATTCCTTTCACAATTTTCTTTTCTTCGTCCTCTTCTATTCCTCTGTTTCGTTGACAAACGTTCATTTTCGACTTTTATGATTTCATGACCTTTCTTATGATTTCTGCTATCACCTTAGGTTTAAGTAGTGCTTTTCTAACTTGCTATCGTATTTACAAAATCCTGTTCATTCCACTTCATGATATTCATTATTATTATTATTTGATAATCATTCACCAATAGTACTTGTAATTTTACACCATATCATCGTAATTATTTTACAATCATTCTTATTGTTTAAAACAATTAGTTTCCTTTATGAATTTAGATAAAGCAATAAGAAGACGTAATTTATCTGGATCGTGTGTAATGTATATTTGCGCAACACATTTCGAATAATCTGATCACACACGGACTTGTTATAGGAGCACATATATATGAAATTATTAAAGAGTTAAGAGGTGACAAAATAGACATGTTGGGTCAAGTTAAAAGGACATATTCAAGGTCAAAATAACAATGAAGTCCAATAAACCAAGTAACAGAGGTAATAGTACATCTGCTATGGTATCAAAACAAAATTTACCAAAGAAGGTTTAATGTGATGACAGATTGTTTTTGAACGCATAAAGGTGGCTTGAACTTTCTAATTGTTAGGGCTTCTACAAACTTTAGCATACGCCCCAAACACGTTTTATAGATGGGTTTAAAAGATCTGCTAACATCAATTTTATGACCTGTCTCTATAATATGTTTCGCAATAGAAGAGCTAGGTCTCCTGTTCTCATCGTTAATAGGTTCTGAAGAATCCATCTGTTTTTGAAGCCATTTAGGAATATTCTCTGAAGCAAGCCCTTACTTGCAGGGATCGATGAGTCCTCCCTATGTATGTGTGTCCACACGTACATTCAAATTGGTAAATACAGTGGGATATGATGTCATTTTTCGCATGTTCGAAGGGCTTAGATAGATATAATGGCTTTACATTCTCGATTATTATGATATTAGCTGCATGAAAAGTGTTTTTAACAGTGGCGTTCAGTCTTTGTCTAGTTATCAAGCTGCTTTGATGCCCCATATAGGGTAGGTTGATGTACACGTTCTTCTTAGGGGCGAGTTGGAGAATGGGTCTTGGTGTTCTCACTACTTTATATCTCCTAATGAACTTATCTGGATAATTGTTATTAACCAGAGTTTGCGTCAACTTTATTTCTTCCTCATCAAGTGTGTCTTCAGTGCGTGTTCGTTGGATTCTACTGAAGAGGCACCTTACTAAGGCTCTTTTGTACTGAACAAGGCAGAAACTGTGGTAATTAAGGTACTGTCCTGCCCAGGTAGGTTTTCTATAAATAGATCATTTCATTGGTCCATCAGGCCGTCAGTCGACTAAGCAATATGTCTAGGAGAGATAAACAAATATCTTCCTCTTCTACAGATGTAAGTGATATGCTATTCTGAACTTCATTCATTCGACTTAAAATAGTTGTTATTTTCAACCTTGAACTTATGTCTAGACCGCCGCATTCGTTGGTTTATTTTCATACTGTCTCACACACCCTGATTACACTCGCTCTCGAAACCTGTATTTTCTGTCGACTATGTTTATATATATATATATATATATATATATATATACATCATTAAATTAAATTACTTCATCTCATTTTGTCCCATGTTCTCACTGACGATGCATATTAGAAAGCTAACTGACTATTGTTCCATCCCATCTTACTTATATTTGTTCCACAATACACTTTCTGATATGACCCTAATTTGCCTCTATGGTCTGGCTGGCTGGCTGGCTATTGTATGCTTAAATTAATGGGTTTATAATTAATTGTAGAGCCTGAAGAGGGAAGGATTTATTGAAACCACAATTGTTCGCTCTAAATATTTTTTTCTATTTGATGTTGAATATCTCCGTAAATTCTTGTGGAACATAATTATTTGACCTCTTTTTGAAGAAGCTACAGTTTGTACGATGAGACGTTCGAAAACTTTTGAAGACAGCTTGGGCTTAAACAGTTTCTCAATGATATTATCTCATTATATAGTGGTCTAATTTTTTCTGGCAATTCTAAATTCTTTAGGAAGGAAGGTAATCCCCCGGGAAACTGTCAAGTTATGCCATGATACCTGTAAATGTTAATTCTTCTAAAGGAATCAAGTGAGTGAAAAAATGTCATTCCGCAATACTTTAGAAATATATTCAAGATCTCTGTGAATTTTCAATGTGTATTCAAAAAATAACTGGATTCTTCAAACAGCTTGGACTTATTACACCATCGTTTTTGTAATTTCAGCCAGTTGACTGATTAGTAATGATGGCTGATATATACAAGGGGGCTTGTTGCTGTAACAAACGCACAATCGAATAGCTATACGAAATAACAAAAAGTAGCTTGAATATTATTTCTAACAAGTTTCCAGTGTTTAAGAGCTTACCTTCTATTCACTGCTAAATATCTATGAAAGAATTGAAGACAGCATAGTTACGGGATAAATTATGCATGTTCCCGTTGGGTTAATGAGTCAAATTTTATCAGGACACAATATAAAGTACAATAGGTGTAGTGTGGTGAGATCTGTCTGCTAGTCAAAATTTGGTAGACACCAATTTACGTCAATGTTTACATTCCAAAACCTCGGTCATGAGAAAAAACAAGAGCAAAGACTAACTGAAACACCAATCACAGCAGCAGACTTTGTGTGGGCAGATATGATTAGCAGATATATATGGTCTGACCTTCAAACAAACGGTCACGTAGAGATGACAGATTAACTTTCAGCGAGAAAACAACCAATCAGAAGACGCTGTTTCTCTGCTAATAATAACGAATAATAATATACTTAGAAATCTATCAATATCTGTTGATTTCCTCATTAAACGATCTGTTGCCTGGCCCCTGTCTTCTGTCGTTACAATATTACTGTATATAAATGGTAAGGTTTTAATGTAAATTACGTGTGAAGATTCCCCTGGTTCTATCTATGAGACCAGCTTAATTGCTCCAATTACTTCTATACGGTTTATTAAGAGAAGTCTTTGACTTCTTAAAATGTTGTTACGAATAAAAAGGATCTAGGAGAAGCTGGTATTCTGAAGCATAAATTCAACGATACTACAAGTCACCAACATTCTTCGAATCTAACATTCAGAGTGAATTTTGCGAAACTGTGTAATAACTGTGCGAGCCTCTATTTTGTAGAAAACCGTTTTACAAGTAAATGTGTATTGTAAAGCTTATGACCTCATCACAGAACTATAAGAATGTTTGAGAGTAAGTATACAAATATCTGAAATTTATATGCCACTTACACTTTGCCAAAGCAATCACAACTAAAATTTCAAACCGAATGAAAATAAACACAGCTGTATTAATATATGTGTAAAACATGGGCACTGTGGTAGTAAGTAATTCCATATGAGTTTGTTTATGAGAGGTATCACACACAGTGAGTGAAACAGTATTATTTACTGGATGACACAGTTTCGAACACAATTTATTGTGGCTCATAATCATATCATCGCTTATACTTACACGACTTCGAAACTTGACTTTTATAGTTTTCTTTGTGTTCTCCTATTTGTCGTAGGGGTAGTAGAATTTTCCAGATATCTGGGTGGGTGGACAGGTGTTGAATCATTCCTATTACATGTATTTGCAGTTAATTTGATAAACAAAGCCTCAGTCAGTTATCAGTCTCTCCCTCCACCTAACTGTTACATTAGATTTTAAAACTGATATCTTATCCCATCCAGCGTATTGTATGGTTGTGCGTAACTGCATGTGGTGAGTGCTATAGTTGAACTATTCAGTGGATTTCGTATCTTATTTGGGTCAACCAATCTAAATTTTGCTAGGTTTTTAAAATAAAACCAAACCTACAAACCAATACTTGAATACCAATGCGATGATCAGTGGCGACTGGCCCTATTCAGGTAGGTAGTTACCTGGAGTTCTAGTGGGAAGTCATGGCCAGTAGAGTACAGCAGGTCGGGTGTGAGGACAAATACTCACCGAAGACATTGACTAGGGGTTGCGATATATCGTGAATTGGCAGAAGTTAGAATTCATGTATTGGCCATTGGATAGGAACCCTGTGGCTTAAAGGTGTAGGAGCTCGCTGGCCTTGTAACCAGAAGTTCCTGGGTTCGAAAGCCAGTGGGGGCGCATTGCTGATGAGCCCCAAACTGGGAGGACGAAACAATACTCCAAGACAGTTTTCCAATGGTTCTCTAACCAATGTAAGCTCATGATGAAATCCTGTAACCAATCAACCAAATCCCTACAAATCAATACTTAAAAGAATTTAGACTTCAAAACAAAACAATTTAGTTTATCTAATACCCTGTCTGCGATGACTGTCAGGTCAAATACCTAGGTCAAACTAGTAGAACAGGGGCAGTCAGACTAGCAGAACATAAAAACCTGCCAAAATTTAGATTCCTTGACCAAAATAAGATAAGAAATGTGGAGAAAAGTTCAGCTGTAGCACTCACTACATGCAATTACACACAACCATACAATAAGATGATGGGATACGATGACAGTTTTAAAATCTAATATGACAGCTAGGTGGAGGGAGAGATTGATAACGTAAGCTTTGTTTATCAAATCAACTGAGAGGGAATACGTGTAATAGGAATGATTCAACACCTGTCCATCCAGATATCTAGAAAATTCTACTACCCAAACGATGAACAGAAGAGATCAGTTTTCGAAATCGTGTGAGTGTAATTGATTATATGATTATGAACAACAATAGATTGTGTTCGAAACTGTGTCATCCAGTAAATAATACTGTTTCACTGTGTGATACATCTAACAAACAAACTAATATGGAATAAACACAGCTGTAAAAACGTTTTGTACATTCTAGTTTTTTTTGTTTACGATTGACTGTTTGAAGAACAACTTATTTAATCCCAGAAATCTATGCCCAGTATGCATGGGATGAAAAAGACAGATTTATTCTGTTTAACTATTCTGATTCGGAAGTTTCTTCTTATTGGAAGCATTCATGTGAATGGATACTCCTTAAACTACGACAGTGACTTCTTGCCATGAATAAGGCATGTTATCCCTCCCTATACAACTTCGTTTACATGGCGTCCAAGGTTTCAATATTCGCTGTCTCAAATGTGGATAAACAGCTTCTCCTCAGTCGTCAATGAGTTCAGTTTACAGTTTAGTTTTACTGCAATTAGATTTTATGCTTTTACGAGTTGATCACAGATTGATATCAGTTAGAGAACCATTGAAAACAAGCAGGAGTACTGGACAGCTGCTGTTTCATTCTAGTTTGGGAATCATCGGCAGTAGGCATCCACCAAAAACCATCCGGTCACAAGGTAAGCTCGTATACCATTCAGCCATTGGGACCCGATTCAATGGCCAGTGCATGAATTCTAACTTCTACCGATTCCAGATTTAGCGTGACCCCAACCAAACTATAAAAAATTAATTTTATGCTGGCTAGTGACTTGCTACAGGATGGAATTTCCTGGCGTTCTAGTGAGAAGTCATGAACAGTGAGGTCCCTCCAGATGTCACGTGTGTGGATGGATGTCCTACCAACGACAATGGTTGAGGTCGTGCTAAAATCATGAATTAGTAGAAGTTAGAATTCATGAGTTGGCCATTGAATCGGGTCTCAGTGACTGAATGGTATAAGAGCTAGTCTTGTAACACGAAGGTCCTGGGTTCGAACCCCGTGTGAGGTGGGTGCGTACTGCGGATGATTCCCAAACTAGGATGAATCAGCAGCTGTCCAGTACTCCCTGGCCAGTTTTCAATGGTTCTCTAACTGATATCATTCTGTGATCAACTCGTAAAAGCATAACTAACCCTTATAAACAAAACTATAGAAGATTATATGTTGTCGACAATCAGTTCTCATCATTCATTGTCTACTGAATTTTGTCAACAGTTATAAATAACTTAATGTAGCAAAAATATTCATTCAGACATCTATCAAAAACACAAAATAATCGAGCAAAGAATATTCTTTTCGATAAATTCCTCTTCTGGCTCTACAATTATATATATGTAAAAGACGAACTGCCTAATTTCGCCTCATCTATGTGTATCTACCAATTTAACTGCTCCTGTGGAGCCAGTCACATAGGACGTACAATTAGGCGTGTTTCTTGTCAGATTTCCGAACATCACCCTGCATAGTGGTTGGTTAAGTAAAGGACAAACAATATCTATTCCCTGTGCTATTCTGTCTCATTTTGTGGAGACAGAATACAAGATTGACGTTAACCATGCTTTCAGGGTCATTTATCGCAACTCCGCCTTAAGAGTTCGATTACTAAATATTGCTGAGGCTGGCTGTTGGGATCCACATTAAAAAGCCTAATTTGTGCGTCCAAAAGAAGTTAATTCACACACTGTCCTTACCCGCTTAGCCATTTGGGTTTGAATAACCCTGAATTTTTGTGGAATTTTCCTAATTTTAGTTGATATTCTATTCGCTATTATAATCTGTATTACTATTATAATTTAAGTATTTTTAGTGAACTGTAATTGCATTCATCATACTTTACAAATCGATATTATTTAAAAAACACTAATATTGTTATTAACTATCAACCTTGAATATTCTGTGTATATAAACATGTATATAATTGTAGAGCCAGAAGAGGAATTTATTGGAAAGAATATTCTTTGCTCGAATATTTTGTGTTTTATAAATAATTTATATGACATTATGCTGTTGATATACTTACGCAACCCCACTTTCTGCAGGCCTAATAAGAAATAAATAACGAAAATAGAAGACGTGTACTTCAACGAAGAGTTTCTTTTCGGTAGTGAATTCATTTTCCTAGCGGTATAATAGCAAATATGATTGTATACATGTGTAAATTAAGTTTGTCAAACAAAAATAGACAATTGGTTATGGCTATTTTAACTAAACAGGAATGAGAATTAGTCAGTCTTGAGTGGAGTTACGTAATACGAAAAAGGTCAAGAAAATTGGATGTTAGTGTAGTGTAGTAACAAAGGTGATAAGTTGTCACAAACAGTTATTAAAGAGGAGTTGTGTAATAATACGAATAGTTTTATATGATTGAGTTGTACCAAGGATACACATAAGAACAAAGTAGAGGATACAAAATGACGTGGGAGTTCTAAATGAATACAAGAATTTTTAGAAATTAAAGAAACAGCCAAACAAATAAAATTAAGTAGAATAATAATAATAATAGCTTTATTCCAAAAACAGTACTCATGATACAGCAAGGAATTTTCAGCATTTCAGTACAATATTGCATCTAATTTACTCAAAAACGACAAAAAAATTAAAAATACCCATTACATAATAGTAATAAAACGATTGTTATAGCAGCTACGTAGCAAAATACTGTGTGCCATACGGAGAAAAATATGTATAAAGTACAAAATTGTAGTAATAATAGTAATACCAACTAAAAATAAAATAACAGAGTAACGATTTAAACGATAGAAAGTGTGACACCATAAAATACAGAAAGATGAAACGATAAAAGGGTCGATTCACTGTACTAATTACATAGTAACTTGTAAGTTTCACGTCTAACAGAGTCTTCGTCACATAAAGTACGCGCTAAATAGGGTATTGTAGAATTTCTATACTTAGTAGTACGAGCATATATCTTTTTATATTGATTTCTCGTCCTACCTGATGAGATACAAGGGGACAGGTGTGAATAAAGGGGGTGCAGAGGGTCTGACAGTATAGCTTTTGCCCATTTCGTACAGGAATTTATATGCCTCTAGACTATAGTATTAGCGAGCTCATGCAGTGGCAGACCACAAGCTCTACTCACAGCATTTATTACTCTTCGTAATATGATATAATCTTTTTTGAGAAGCCCAGGAAAGATTAATGGAGAGCAGTAGAGTACAATAGGTAAAATACAGGAGTTTAAAAATTGCAAAACTAAAGGTTGGTTGATACCTGATTGTCTTAACTTTTTAATGTAGAAGGTAAGAAGTGGTTGAGTAATTGTGTTTTGTATGCACAGCTCCCATTTTTCTATGTGAATGGACAGAGCTTCAGCGATACAAAGAAGACGAAACTGTATTGCCTTTGGTAGGTTATTCTTGACTCTGTAGATTACTTTGAAGCAAGAGGAGTTTTTTGAGATGTAATGATCAGTGTGTTAACCAGGTGTTCAATTATCGCACTCCTTATTGCACCACTATCGCCTTTTCGGAACCGTACTGGGCAGTGTTCTTGAATCCTCTTGGACACGATGCGCGTGGGACGACCGATGTACCTGGCTGGCTCCACAGCAGTAGGTGAACTAATTTATGCACACAAAAGTCGCCAGATGCAGGATCTTGTCCTCATGTCTTCTTCAGATCAGTGGGTGAGCGGAGAACACTATTCTTAGTGTTGTTGCAAAGAATGTTCTTCTCACAGATGATGTGATCCTTCTCTTGAGAATATCGCTTGCTTAATCAATCTCCCTTGAAATCTAAGTTCATGTAGAGTTTCTTTTTCGGCGCAAGTGAATTTTCAGTTCTCGGTTTGATATTTTTGTCAATAAATCTTCATGGGTATCCATTTTGGATGAAAATTTTCTCTCAAAAGATCTTATTCTGTTTCTGAAACATAGGGGCTACAGATGCGTCGGATGCGGTTGACAAGTGTTTTAATTAAATTCCGCTTTTGTTGAATGGGTACCTATCTATAGAAGCTTGTTAGTTGACCATTCCAATTAGCTTTTCTCTGGATCAATCTTCTTAGGCTCCTATTAATTCTTCTTGTAAGTTTCACATCAAGAAGGGGAATTTTTGATTCATTACCCATTTCAAGAACGAATTTTATTGCTGTATAGCAAGCAACAGTTAAATACCTCTGAGGTCATATTTGATGATACATGTCTTACTGCTTACCTGATGTTCATATTATTTGCCATTTTCCATATGAACTACTATTTTAAGTCCGAGATATTCCGTGTCCTTACAGTTATTTACTTTTCTGCTAAATGATTCACGATTCCTTTAACATGCCACCAATCTTAATTGATGCACATAGTATAATGCTGACTTCTTGGCTCGAATCGTTAACCTGTTGAAAACCAAATGTTATTAACTGCATGTAGTATAACTTAATATACTTCTCACCACTGCTGAAGATATATTCACTCCTTGAGAGCTTCCAGATTCAGCAAGCACAATATCTCACACTGATATTTCATCTTAGTACAATCAGCTAAGTATCCATACTGTCGTTAATGAAACACGATTTGTGAAACTCTGCGTATGCGGATCGTTTACAAACCTCAGATAACTAAGCATAATGTTGCGTAAAACGAACTCTCTCAACCCTCCTTGTTATGTAATGTTAGCTGATAGATTTTTTTGAGAAAAGAGTTAGAGGAGGGAGGTCAAACCGAAAGCTGATATCATTTCATGAAGTCATTGACAGTCGATCTGAACCAGCCGGATAGATAGGTGTAGACTGCCTGGTTTGGGCCCTTGAGATGTTAAGAATCATTAGCTAGAGACTGTTAGTGATTGGGCGGAACGTCTTCCTTGAAGAAACAAATGAACTCAATCTCTACAATCGTTCTATGATAAAATTCAATCAGCCAGTAGTCAGCCTTCTATTCTTCGGTAGGTATAAGTACACTGAAGTACAGCAGAAGCAAAGCAACAAGCTGACAGAAGAAGCATCTAAGATAGAACTTCCTTCAGATGAACATAGATAAAACAGAGGTGATGAAGATTCCTGGACAACACCACCACTAACAACAGACAACAATCAGCCAGGATAAATGGAAGGAACCTGAAAGAAACAACCTCTTTTAACTACCTACCTACCTGAGAAGCATCGTTTCAACTACAGTCGGACGCAACTGACGAGGATATCAAAGCCAGAATCGGAAAAGCAAGACAAGCATTCATTACTCTTAAGTCTGTGTGGAAGTCGATATCACTCAGAATCAAAAATAAAATCCGAATTTTCAAATCCTATGTAAAGTCAGTCAGTGCTACTATACGGATCAGAGACTTGGCGCGTCATGAAGAGCATCTCAAACAAACTTCAGACCTTCATTAACAGTTGTCTTCGCTCAATACTAAAGATCAGATGGCCGGCCAGAAAAGATCAGCAACAGGGATCTCTGGCAATGAGCGAACCAACCCAGCAGAAACCGATTGTGAAACAAATAAGCAGGAAGAAATGGAGCTGGATTGACTGGGCATACTCTGAGGAAACAATCCATCAAGTGACATCACCAGACAAGCCATTGCTCAAGTGGAACCCGAAAGGGAAGTGGCGAGTTGGTCGTCCAAAGGTGACTTGGAGGTGGTCATGTGAAGAGGAGATGAAAGCGTGTGGACAGACTTGGAGCGAGGTGAAAAACTTGGCAGAAAACCGAAGGCAATGGAGACGCGCAGCTGAAGCCCTATATTCCTCTAGGAATTAAATGATATAATAATAATAATAATAACAGCAGAAGGACAGCTGAGACGAATATTGTTTTTCCTTAACAGTGAATATCTGAATTTCATACATTTATTCCCCTTAATGAATTTGAATAAAGCAAGAACAACAGGTTTGCAGAATAAAATGGTACCATCATTGATGATTTCGTCCGTTGGCTTCTCATCAGCTAAGCTGCTTACAGGCCAAAGTCATCATTAAATAAATCTACAAAAACAATTTTAACATACTTGCACAGTGAGTTCATTTTAAACAATAATCAACCGATACCAATAGAAACATACATCAATATATATATATATATATATAAAACACTTCCGAACAATAATGATCATACACAATGTGAACTTTCGGCGTTATGTAATCAAATGAAAGAGAGGGTGAAAATATCCGGCTACCAGGGCAAGTAATTAGTGGAAGAATTTATGTTTCTCAAAGAGATGTTAAAAAGCAACGGTTACCCTCAAAGATTCATTAACAAGTATGGAAAATCTGAAGACTCAGATGTCAAGCAAATCACAGTGGACAAAAGCCCATCTACATTCAACTTGATTATACAGGTGAAAAGTTTACAGCAGTTGTCAACAGAAGATTGAGGATGTCTCTAGGCAGAGCCTATCCTGCGGCTAAGCTCACTCCAGTCTATCGAACAACTTACTCTTTGGTGCAATCGTAAAAATCGATAGAAATCCTTCTCGTTATTTACTGCAACTGTATATACCGATTTACATGTATCTAAGGGAGTAGTTATACTGGAAGGACAGAATGAACGGCATACCCCCGACTTTCTGAACATGTTCCAAAAAGCATGTGTCTAAAGGGAACACATACTTTAAACAGTGCCAATAGCCAGGCATCTCATTGACACGGGTCATGAACTGGACGTCGAAAGATTGTTCATACTTATCAGTTGGCAAAAGAGCTCAATTCTCTTTTTAAGTTTTTTGAAGCCATCTCAATCAAGCGCCTGAAATTCGATTTATGCGTTCACAGAGAAGCGGTTATCAGTCTTTCCTTGTTCTGTCTAATAACTGGATATTTTCACCTAACTTTCTGGATGACGTTACGAACAAAATGTATTGTTCATAATCATATCAATTATAATCACACGACTTTGAAACTTGAGTTTTATAGTTTCCTTTGTTCTTTCCCATTTGTCGTCGTAGGTGTGGTAGTAGAATATTCCAGATGTCTGGGTGGACAAATGTTGAATCATTCGTATTACAGACAAGTATTTCCAGTTGATTCGATAAACAAAGCTTCTGTTATCGATCTCTTCCTCCACTCAGCTGTTATATTAGATTTTAAAACTGTCATCTTATCCCATGCCATCCCATTGTATGGTTGGTTGTGTATTATTGCATGTATAGTGAGTGCTGTGGCTGAACTGTTCTCCAGATTTCGTATATTATTGGGTTCAACTAATCTAGATTTTGCTGCTACGTTTCTGTCTTCTCCTAGTCTGACTGACTGTCCCTGTTCTACCACTTTGACCTATGTATTTGACCTGACAATCATTGCACGCAGGGTATTATGTAAACTGCATTGTTTTGTTTTGCTTGCCTCCACTGGCGGCATTCTTTAACCGACAAAGATTGTTTCTAATTGTGCGTCGGTGGTACAGTGGTTAGAACTGTCACTGACCATGCACATGGTCCGGGGTTCAAGCCCACGCCGACGCACACCTGATATCTATGGTCGGCCTGCGAAATTTAGTCTACCGATATCCATGCTGAAAATTCCATACTTGTACCAAACATACAGTGTGGAATCAAGCTGTAATCAAAAATAAATAAAAAATAAAAATAATAATTGAGTTTTTGGGTGGTTTGAATGCCAGCCACTTTTATTCCTGCCTGAATTGTTAAGAATTCTCTGCCGTAGGGTGATTTCTGAGGTTCCCTCATTGTATTTAGTTACTACTGTTGATTTGGATTCCTTTTTGTTGGTATTATCATTATTCTTTCTGTGCACGTCTGACATGCATGTTGTCATTAATATTACCATCATTATCATTGCCACTATCACTATTATCATTATTTATTTTATTTTTACATTTTCCTACACACTTCGTGACTAATTCATCAAGTATTCAGTATTTAAGTTTCGAAGCTTCGGTGGCACAGTGGTTAGGACTCTCGCCGACCATGCACATGGTCCGGGGTTCAAGCGCACGCCGGCGCACACCTGATATCCGTGGTCGGCCTGCAAAATTTGGGCTACCGATATCCATGCTGGAAATTCCATACTTGTACCAAAAATACAGTGTGGAATCAAGCTGTAAATCAAAAAAAAATAAATAATATGCCTACCCTTCTGTCTTAGATTTTCTTTGGTACTACTTAGTTTCTGTGCTATGTCACTTAAACAATTCACCGATCCTACCTTCTACTACCGCTACGACGACAAATACGAGAGAACAACGAAAACTATCAAAAACTCAAGTTTCAAAGTCGTGTGATTATAATCGATTGATATGATTATGAAAAGCAATAAATTGTGTTCCAAACTGTGTCATCCAGTAAATAATAATACTGTTTCACTCACTGTGTGATATATCCAATAAACAAGCCAACATGGAATTACTTACTATCACAGTGCTCACGTTTTACACATATATATTCACTTCAGTTTCATCTGATTACGCAACGCCGAAAGTTCACATTGTGTATGATCATTATTGTTGTTTGGGCTAAAGTGCTTATTATTATTACTATATATTATTATTGTATGCATATAGTGATTGATTGATTTTTGTTTAAAATGAACTCACTGTGCAAGTATGTTAAAATTGTTTTTGTAGATTTATTTAATAATGACTTTGGCCTGTAAGCAGCTTAGCTGATGAGAAGCCAACGGACGAAATCATCAATGATGGTACCATTTTATTCTGCAAACCTGTTGTTCTTGCTTTATTCAAATTCATTAAGGGGAATAAATGTATGAAATTCAGATATTCACTGTTAAGGAAAAACAATATTCGTCTCAGCTGTCCTTCTGCTGTTATTATTATTATTATTATATCATTTAATTCCTAGAGGAATATAGGGCTTCAGCTGCGCGTCTCCATTGCCTTCGGTTTTCTGCCAAGTTTTTCACCTCGCTCCAAGTCTGCCCACACGCTTTCATCTCCTCTTCACATGACCACCTCCAAGTCACCTTTGGACGACCAACTCGCCACTTCCCTTTCGGGTTCCACTTGAGCAATGGCTTGTCTGGTGATGTCACTTGATGGATTGTTTCCTCAGAGTATGCCCAGTCAATCCAGCTCCATTTCTTCCTGCTTATTTGTTTCACAATCGGTTTCTGCTGGGTTGGTTCGCTCATTGCCAGAGATCCCTGTTGCTGATCTTTTCTGGCCGGCCATCTGATCTTTAGTATTGAGCGAAGACAACTGTTAATGAAGGTCTGTGCATCGGTTGCATAGCGGTTAGGACGCTAGCCGACCATGCAGCTGGTCCGGGGTTCGATCCCTGGCTGACGCACTCCTTTACTCCTTCACCTTGCTTAGCCGGAAACATTGCTGGTGAAGAGGAAAGGTTGGGAATGGTGCTAGCAACTCCATCCTGTAAAATAAACATAACAGTGTCGATGGCACAGCTGTTAGGACGCTCGTCGACCATGCACATGGTCCGGGGTTCGATCCTTGGTCGACGCATTCCTTTGGGCCTTTGTAGCTCAGTGGTCAGAGTACTGGTCTTGTAAGCCATGGGTCGGGTGTTCTATCCTCCCTGGGATCAGAGGGGTTTGAGAAACCACAACAAACAGTGATGGTTCAATCTTCTTATTCTGTATGAGCTGTTGTTCTTGCTTTATTCAAATACCGAAACTTTTCTAATTAATTGTCAGTCTTCCAAACATCATTAAAAATAATTTAAAAAAATAGCCTCAACATACGTCAACTTTCGGGTTTGTGGTGAACTAAAGAGAGGATAAATTTAAAAAAAACAAACAAACATGGCGGACGTTATTTTATGTTGATAGAAAAGAAACAGATTGACAATTCGGTTATTGAATCAAAGTTTTACTTACTCTCCAGAGATGCATGAAAGGCTAGAATTTTAAAATCATTACAAGAAAGATATGAGGAGTCAAAAATTCTTTTTTTGAGAAGTTATTTACCAGATGAAGTGAGCGGAATATTTACGCATTCTACAAAAAACTAACTTCAAGAACTTAAATTTCAAAGGTGAGTTTGACGCAGAAATTTGTCAGGAATTCGGCTTTTAGTGTCTGAAGGTACATGGATGGTACATCCGTTAAAAAAAATCAAACTAAATATGTTGAATGAACTTTTTCACTTAATAAACAATATATTAGAGACCATTAAGTTTTCCAAAGATGTTGAATCCAACAAAAATGTTTCGGTGTTCTTGAACTGTTTCATAATAAAACCTGACAGAATCGGAGAGATACGCATATTACAATTCAGCACATTTTGTTTACCGCCAGAGTAACTGTGGCCAAGAATCGGATTAACAGAGCCAAACGTGTAGTAATTGAAGAAGAGAAGTCCATTCTCAAAACAAATAATTTTTCAAAAGCCTTCATAAAAAAGATATTTAAAATGTGAAGATAAGGATGAATCGAAATCTGTTGCTAAGAACTGGCTTAGTCCAATGGTGATTCCTCACGAGCAAAGGAAACATCCGATGATGAGATGAAGCGAATCCTTAACGATCATGACAATGTAAGAGTGTATTTTCGTGCAACTAACACACCTTACGCTCCTCATCACTGATGAAGGTTAAGGACAATAAAATAGAAGTAGAAAACCAGCAGAATTGTGTGTATGTACCAGATAAATTGTGGGCACTGTGACGCCGTAAATGTAGGTGAAACTTCTAGACAAGCGAATATAGGAGTGAAACAGCATAAATAATGTCTAGAGGTGGTTGGTTCCAAGGACCTCTGCAGACTTAAAGAAGTCGGAAAACAAACCAGACATTGTACTGCATTCGATAGAAATGGGACATAAAATCAACTATGGTAGGACTAAGGTTCTACAGAAAGGTTTTGATTGGTATAAAGAAAGACTGACTGACTGCAGAAGCCCTATATATATATGGGTGAATCCCAACAGTATGAACAGACGTGAAGGTGTGATGTTAGCTGATGCATGGCAAATCGTGACTAATAAATGAAACTGGATATGTATCAGCAATTAGTCAGACTTGGTCAAATTTCCCGATTGTCTACGTCTTCTTATGGAGACGCTTACAAATGTTTTTTGACTGTTCACCCACACACACACACATACAAACAATTGTATACTGTGTATACACATATATTTATAAAACACAAAATAATTGAGCGAAGAATATTCTTTTCGATAAAATCCTCTTCTGGCTTTACACTTATACATATATATGTATGTTTATGTTAAATAGAATATTCTAGAATAGTAGTCAGTAACAATATTAGTGGTTTTTTTTTAAATAATATCGATTTGTTAAGTAAGGTCACAATGGAATCACAGTCCATTAAAGATGCTTAAATAATAATATTGATAATAAAGATATAGTAGCAAATAGAATATCAACTAAAATTAGGGAAATTCCACAAAAATTCAGGATTATTCAAACCTAGATGGCCAAACGGGTAAGGATAATGTCTGAACTAACTATGTAACTGGCTCACTCCACAGGATCAGTTAAACTGGTAGATACACACAGAAGAGGCGAAATTAGTCAGTTTGTCTTTTACTCCAGAACGCAGGAGATGAGTAGGTGGTTTCGAAGACACAGCGTAATTGGGCGGCAGGGAATGTTCTTTTTAACACATTTCTAAGGTGCTGTGTTAGTATCTCACTGATGTTGGCCCCAAGGACCTGCATTTGTAAGGATAACGCCTTTTTAAGAACTACTGATACCTTGAGCTGCCTTGATTTTAGATTCATATTCTAATCAATAAGCTTTTCTAGATAACCGTTTTCACTCGCCAACCATTTAATATTATCAAGTTCCTCATCAACACATTCCTCCGAGCAGATTGTTCTTGCTCTGTGGCGAATTTTTTATTTTTGATTATAGCTTGATTCCACACAGTATTTTCGGTACAAGTATGGAATTTTCAGCATAGATATCGGCAGCTCAAATTTTGCAGGCCAACCATAGATATCGGGTGTGCGTCGGCAGGGTATCGAACTTCGGACCATGTGCATGGTCGGCGAGAGTCCTAACCACTGTGCCACCGACGCACAATGTTTGCAGCTATGCGGATGGTTAAAAGACATGCAATTTTGAAATGAGGAATTTACTTGTCTAAACAAATTCTACTGTTTCCTGACGGTTACACTGATAAACTATAAAACAGGAACAATGACTTCAACGTACGTACATGCGACATTCAAATGTCTTATTTTTTAGCTATCAGTAAATGACCACCTATCAAATTCACAATATAACTATCAAGAGTAAATAGCCAACATTTTAGTGAGCTGCAAGCACTTTATCAGATTGCGTTTGTATTTCAAGAGCATGAAGCTGAAAAAATGAGTATACTGACCTGTTGATGTAGGTTTTCTATATATACACTTCTTCTTATCACACCATTCTCTTTTATGGTCATAAAGACGTCTCGAAATGAAATACTGGAGTCTTTTTCTTTCACAATAGCAAAATTCATTGTCGGATGAACGTCGTTAAATTTATCCAGAATGTATTTTCCTTCCTTCTTATTTTTATTAATCAAAAATGAATCATCCATGTACCGACAGTAGAATTCAAGTTCATTATTAACATCCTTCATAAGTTAATTTTCTAGTTTCGCAAGGAAAATGTCGGGAAGAGTGGGTCCTGGTAGTGACCCACTTGCCACACCGTCGATTTGTCTATATAGTTCCTTATTCAATAGAAGGTGAACATTCATTGTTTATTTAACTGCTCCTGTGGAGCCAGTTACATAGGACGTACAATTAGGCGTGTTTCTCGTCAGATTTCCGAACATCACCCTGCATAGTGGTTGGTTAAGTAAAAGACAAACAAAATCTCTTCCCTGCGCTATTCTATCTCATCTTGTGGATACAGAACACAGAATTGACGTTAACCATGCTTTCAGGGTTATTTACTGCATACCAACCAACGAATCTCAATTTTGCCTTGGCATTTTGATGACTAAATATTGCTGAGGCTTGCTGTTGGCATCCATATTAACAAGCCTAATTTGTGCTTCCAGAAGAAGCTATTTCAGACATTATCCTTACCCACTTGGCCATCTAGTTTTGAATAATCCTGAATCTTTGTGGAATTTTCCTAATTTTAGTTGATATTCTATTTACTATTATATTATTATTATAATTCAAGCACCTTTAATGAACTGTAATCCCATTGTGATCTTACTTAACAAATCGATATTATTTAAAAAACACATTAATATTATTATCGACTACTGATCTAGAATATTCTGTGTACAGAAACATATGTGTTTTTAAATTCAGTTATCTACGATCATGATCTTTTAGTTGAACGCAATCACTAAAATTTTGATAAAAGGTACGCTCTGTTTAAAATGTTTAACAATAAAAGTAGACTAAATTTGAAAGTCTGAGGTCAAATTTTGATCACCGCTCATACAATTTTGTTTATTATACATGTTGACACCTGTTTCATGACTCATATGATTGGACAAAGTTTTTAAAAAGAACAAGAGGTATCCCTCTTTTTATACATAAACCTCTGTTATGTTAATTTCGGTTAATTTCCCTGAAGAAGTTTGGATCAGATTGCCGAACTCAGGAAACATTGGAATTACTCATTTCAATTTCTTTGAGATTTTACAGAAATATATAATTTTTACAAATGTCTACTTCTCACTCAGTGCCCAATTATATTTTGAAATTTATTCGGTCATAATATTTAACTGTCATTTCAAGAAATGTTCATCAATTCAAGACATAAGCAAAATTACAATCTCAAGTTAATTTTATAATATTTTTAAGGACACTTAGACAAAGTATACTTACGTTAAAACCTTTTGCACTTGACTATGTTAGAAAATGGAAATAAAATATTTTTAATTCAAAGTTTAAAAACGCTTTAGTTTACTGCTAAAATAAACGTGGATCGAAATAGCATATCAATTTATTAAGCGAAAATCTACACTTTCCACCGTCTTTCAGTCTTCAGCCATCTAGAAGGTATCGAGATTCTCTGAATTCAGTTTAACTTATGATTTCGATACAATGAGATATTACAGTAAGTGGATTAGATATTTTAATTGAATTTTAGATCTTCCTGTCGATTGATTGGACCGAAATGCTCCTCGGTCTCAGGTTGAAATGTCTGTTGGCTTCTTGTGCAGATGCTTCGACAACGTCTGGGCATTTAATTAGAATTTCATTTGTGGATGTTGATTAGCAGTGGAATCCAGGATAACGCGCATTTAGTCCTATTTGGGACTCGTCAGCTAACTGGATGTACCTTTATTTCTCAGTGAGTGATGATGTTCCCACCGAGGCTCAAACCCAGTGACCATAGTTTCAAACTCCAAAAGTGCTATCCACCGAACCACTTGGGCCACGAGAGCCACCTCTTGTGCAACGGGTCATTTCAACTTTAAGTGAAAATCTAACAATTAATTAAAATTAATATGACACGTGGTCTAGTGGATAATGCTTTGGATGGCGTTTGAAACTATGGTCACTGAGTTCGAGCCTCGATGGGAACATCATCACTCACTGCGAAATGAAGGTACATCCAGATGACGACGAGTCCCAAATAGAACGAAATGCGCGTTATCCTGGATTCCACTGCTACTCATCATCCACAAATTGAATTTTGAATTGGACATTTGTTATGATTTACGAATTTAATGCCTAAAAATCAATTACCTTCTGCCATTGCAATGACGATAAATGATATTTTATGTCATACTCCTGAATCTTTTGATAATTTTCACCAAAAGCAACAAAGATTAAATGTACAGAAGCACTACTTGGGGTGTTGGAATTTCATTAACCCTCTAGATATTCTGTGATGCGATGTTATCACCTGAGCTACAAATCTTCTCTATCATATCTAGATGTTATTACCATCCGAATCAGAGACGTCATTTCAGATGATTCACATCACATTCTATTTTTAATAGATCTTTGTGTGAAATTTTTTCCTTCACGTTCCCCAGTGGAACATAGGGCCTCAAGCCAGTGGCTTGAAGTTTCTGTAGCAGTGTTTATTTTACAGGATGGGGTTGCTAGCCTCACCTGGCCCAACCTTTCCTCTTTACCAGCATTATTCGTAGCTTATAGCGTTAAAGGAGTGAGTCGGCCGATGATCAAACCCCGGACCATGTACATGGTCGGCGAGCGTCCTAACCGCTATACAACCGACGCATTTTGTGTGAATAGCTCAAGTTATTTCAGTTGACCACTTCTGATGAATACGTCGTTAAATAATAAGGTCCTTTTATTGGTATTTATCAGTTGGCTTGCTCCTGTGTAGTTAAATACACACACGCCATACCAGGAGGTCATTTTCTAGATGAAATTATGAACACCTATCAGCATGATTGTTAAAATTCGGAAGCAGCACAGTTAAAGGCTGAATTCTGGAGCTCAGTACTGCTTCGAGTCAGACAGCAACATGAGAGATATCCTTCAGAATCATATATATGTGCATATATATTAAATGAATAAACCCTTGTGAGACATAGAAACAAAGAATTCAGCGAATAAAATTCTGTTTTCGACAACTCATCGTGGTAAAGTATTAATTATAGGATTGTGATAGTTTGATACATACATCGGGTCTCAACGGAATATTATTCTAGCAGTAAGAATCATTATATTTATATTGCTGTTAACGTCTGACTACTTTTACCACAGTTCAGTACTCCATTAACAACAGAATACTATATATCTATTTGAACATGATTTATGTTTGACGTCACACAAAATCGAAGACTTGCAAGCAAAAACCAACCAACAAACTGGTCGAAAAAGCAGCCGGCGAAGACAGGACTCCAGGTGAACATGGACAAGACGGAGGTTATCAAAATAACCAACCAACCAACAACAAGAACAGCAGAAACATCCAGAGCTAATCACCATCAACGGGAGGTAGGGATTTGAAAGAGGTTACTTCATTCACTTCACTTATCTAGCAATGAGCATTGTCTAAACTACAGGCAGTCGGAACAAGCGAGGATGTCAATTTGAGCAAGAATCAGGAAGGCTGTGGTGAGAGCAGGCTGCTAGCCGATTGGTAGACATTAATTTACGTCAATGTCTAGGTCACTAATATTGGCCTTGAGAAAATATGAACAGGGCTGATTCAACAACCAATCACAGCAGACTTAAACGTGGGCAAATATAATTTGCAGATAGATGGCTCCACTTTCCGAGAAAACGCAAAAACAACCAATCAGAAGACTACCTTTTTCTACTTGCATAGGCTTTAATAATGCACAGGAAATATATATAAATACCTGTTGACTTTCGTAATATAAGGATCTGTTGCCAAGTCTTGTCTTCATCAACCTGACTGAAACCAATCTGGAAATCTTCGTCACTCAGCCAGCATCACCAACAACATTCTGTTTGATTTTCAAAACAAACACGTCAAGTCAGTTAGTTCTTCTATATGGAACGGATGAGAAACTTGGCGGGCGGGTCACAAAGAATATTTCCGATAGTCTGTTGCAGACTCTTACCAACAAACAACTGTATTCTCTGACTCTATATTGAAGACCAGATGGCCGGCCTGGAAGTAATCACCAACAAGAAACGACGTGAACAATCAAACAAAACAAGAACAAACCAGTCGACAACCAACAAATATGGAGGAGATGGAGTGGAGGTGGATTGGACACTCGCTGAGGAGGCCGGTTGGTGACATCGCACGCGCATCAGGCCATCGCTCGAATGGAACCCGACAGAATGGGAAACGGCGAGTGGAACGTCAGTGCAAGTGTGTTATGGAGGAGATGGTGTGAAGAGGAGTTGAAACACTATGGACTAACATGGATGGATGCAGTCGAAAAGTACAGCAGAAGAGAGAAGCAAGTAGAGATGTGGAGTTGAAGCCCTTTGTTCCACTAGGAACCTAAAAGGAGCAATAATAATAATGTAATTTGAAAATTCCATTTCATGTTGCTTGATGTAATCCAAAATCACACGCTCTCTCAGTGATTGGTTAAGGAACATAAAACTGTATAGATATCTATAAATAGCGGTTTGATCAATTGAAAATATACCTTGGCTTCCGTCCTTGTCTTACCTTCTGCTGTTACAGGATAACCTACTGGGTGCAGCTTGTCACTCATAATCATAAAACATCACGCTGATATGATTATGGACAATAAATTATGCTTCTGCAATCATCCACTATATACGTCACTATGATGAAAAAACTTTTGATTCGTTCATTGTCGGGAGTGAAAATAAGAAGAGTTCAAGCATTCAATTATAGTTTGTTTATCGTATATATCACACAGTGAGTGAAACAGTATTATTTGATGGATGACTCAGTTTCGAACACAATTTATTGCTTTTCATAATCATATCAATCGATTATAATCACACAACTTCGAAACTTGAGTTTTATAGTTTTCTTTATTCTCTCTTATTTGTCGTTTTTGGGGTACTAGAATTTTCCAGACGTCTGGGTGGATAGGTGTTGAATCATCCCTATTGCAGACATGTATTTCCAGTTGGTTCAATAAAAAAAGCTTCTATTATGAATCTTTCCCTCCAAATAGCTGTTATATTTGATATTAAAAGTGTCATCTTATCCCATCCTATTGTATGGTTGTGTGTTTATTGAAATTTAGATTCACCTCTATTTATTTAGTTATTCATTCATATAAAGGTGGTGTCAGTAGCACAATGGTTAGGACTCGCGCCGACCATGCACATGGTTTGGACTTCGATGCCCTACGGACGCACACCTGATATCAATGATTGGCCTGCAAAACTTGGGCTACCGATATCACATGCTGAAAATTCCATACTTGTAGGAAAAATACGGTGTAGAATCAAGCCATAATCAGCGATATATATATATATATATATATATATATATATACGATTGTACGGCTATGAAAATGAAATAGTCAAAAGGAGAATTTTTCTCCTTATATATATATATATATATATATAAAGTGAGATCAAGCTGTTCGAAAGGATTTCGCCTAGATCTGCTTCATGTAGTAAGAACTCTAAGAGTCTATAAAGAAAGTCTGAAAATTCATGTTCCTAACCATTGTGTTCAGCCCTTGTTACTGCTGTGATTTCAGCGTGAAATTAATTTTCCTGGATTGTTGTACAATGAGCTGTCGTGGGTTAGAGAACCATTGGAAAACCACCACTTGAGAGTACTGGACAGCTGTTTCGTCCGCCTTGTTTGGGACTTCTCTATGGTACACACCCACCGACATGGTTTGAATCCAGGACATTCGGGTTACAAGGCTAGCGAGCTTGTAGACCATTAAGTCAATGGGACCCACTAATCCAATGGCCAACGCATGAATTCTATCTTCTGCCAATTCACAATATAGCGCGACCATTAGCCAATGTCTTCGCTGGCGAGTATTTTTCCTCACACCCTATCTGCTCGCCTTGTAACCAGTAGGTCCTGGGTTCGAACTATGGCGGTGGGCGTGCACTGATGAAGAGTCTCAAAGCAGTGGGACGAAACAGTTGTCCAATACTTTCTGGATAATTTTTCAATGGTTCTTTAACCAATCTCACCTCATGATGAAATCCTGTAACCAATCAATCAAATCCCTACAAACCAATACTTTAGATTGATTTTTTATCTTTGTTATTTTGTAACCCAGTCTGAATTCTTCGTTCTGTTGTTGTTGTTGACTATCAGCAATTTCTAAATGATTAATTATTTAATAAGTTGTCAAACTTCCGCTTCCCCCCCCCCAGACGCCAGCCCCATTACATTAGATTATTCATCACTATATTGACGTGCTGATACATTTCGACTTGCTTTTATATTACTAACGCATAATAATAACATCTGATGTTCGCCGTAAATTAAATAACTATTCAACTGTGAAATGTAGTCATTAGAAGAGATCGCGTTTTGTTGTTGTTGACTTGTACTCTTATTTCACATAAAATGAGAATTTTTCCATCCTCTGATTGTCATGAATTATGCTACAGTGTAGTGCGTCGGCGGTACAACGGTTGAAACGCTCGCCAACCATGCAAATGGTCTGGGGTTCGATCCCGGCCACTAACGCACTCCTTTACACTCGCTAAACCAGTAATAAGACTGGTAAAGAGGAAAGGTTGGGCCAGGTGAGGCTGGCTAGCAAGCCCATCCTGTAAAATAAACACCACTGCTACAGAAACTTCAAGCCACTAGCTTGAAGCTGTGTTATGTTCCACTGGGGACGTGAAAGAAATTTTAAAAAATGCTACAGTGTGAATTCATTAAAAAAAAAACTTACGCATTAATTCCGTAGAGCCTTCTACAGAAAATATTTTAAAACCAAAGGAAAAATGCATGGACTGGTTAGCGGTAAAAAATACTCCTTAAACGATATTGTTCATTCAAAAATATCAGATATAATTGATGTGAAATATTCCCACATCCCATGAATTATTAAAAGTCAATCTAAACGAAGAATATTCTCTACAATACATCCTTCTACACTTCAGGTTCTTACAATTATAAAACAACTGTAATATTTGTTGTCGTTACAATAATGACAACCAGTTATGCATGCTGCGGATACATTATTTTTTGTTAACGTAGAATAAGAGATTAGTAGTTATTGGGGTGTCAAAATAAATAGTCATATTTGTGTGACAAACTTCGTGCTCTAGTCTGACTGAAATCGATTACAAAATATTTCTCTGAAATGCGAAACATTGTTGTGGTTACTAGTCGTCATAATAGATTCATTCGTAAAGCGTGGGGTAGGCAAGTTAACAAGTCAGTTTGTTCAAGGTTATGAAAGGTATCAGGTGAGTGAGTGAGTGAATGAGTGGAGTGGCTAGTACAAAGTGGTATGTAGTATTAAACAGGAGATAGTTAGACTACAATGAGATGTTCATAATGAAATAATGAATGTGTGAAGTGAAACAGGTGGAGGCATATATTGAGAAAAGAGATAATATGACACTAATAATAAGTCTGGTTGGCATAAATGGAAAGTTTGATAGTTCTGAAATAACGTTCGCATGAAGGGTATAAATTATGACAAATAATAATAATTGCAGTAGTAAGCAAAGAAAGAAAAATAAAACCAAAAGGGTTGTGGGGAAGAAGAAGCACTCTTGGTGAGAAGAATAATCATCAATCGAAGTTTGGACACGGTAGGAACAGCGTCTAGACGTGCTCTGTTTAGATACAAAGTTCAGGTTTAGTCGATCTTATTGCTATAGCTTTAACTATGTGTGTGTGTAGCAGACGTAAACGAACTGTACGTGATAACGACTTCGGTATTTGGTAATATAAGCCTGAAAGCTGTGTTGACATCGATGCGATGTCCAGTATCGACCACGTGTAACAGGATCGAGCTTTTTATGCATTTAATTCTGTGTTCAGGTTGAAAAGATCAGCAACAGGAATCTCTGGCAATGAGCGAACCAACCTAGCAGGAACCGATTGTGAAATAAATATGCTGGAAGAAATGGAGATGGACTGGCCAAACGCTGAGGAAACCATCAAGTGACATCACAAGACAAGCCATCGCTCGAGTGAAACCCGAAAGGGGAGCGGTGATTTGGTCGTAAGTGTGAGGGTGACTTGGAGGAGGTCATACGAAGAGAAGATGAAGGCACGTGGGCAGACTTGGAGTGGGCTGAAAACGTTTGCAGAAAACCGAAGGCAATAGGGACATTGGGGCTGAAAGCTTATGTTCCTCTAGGAATTAAAGGATATAATAATAATAATAATCAGGTTGAATTTTAATTAAAATATCTGATAAATGGAAATTTAGTGGGTTAAGACGATTTAAACTAGATATTTTGGTTAAGACCTTCAAGCGTAACCGAAAATCAGGAACGATCAGTTCGACGTTGCAACAAGTACCTAATGTGGTTAATAAAGTAGGATTTAATTATGGATTCATCTAATTTCGGTAGAACCCTTCAGCTGCTGAACACTCTACATACGGGGATATATATATATATACTTTTGAAATTACATTGGGAGATATAAGGCTGATAAGTAAACGAACTACATTGAATTAGTCACGCAGAAAGACACTTCCGAATGTTTTGCAGGTCATGTTCAAATAGATAAGTGATGGAAGGGAGTATGGGACATCAAAATTAAGATAAATTGCATTACGCTTCAATTACACATCACTTAGATAAACAATTAGTCATTAGAGAATATAACAAGAATTGCAAACAGACTAATATCAATAGTAATATTTATAGTAACAATAATAATAATAATAATAGTGTTGAAGTGAGTTAAGATAATCCTACTGATAAAAGATAGTTTTAAATGAACCAAGAATAATAATAATAAGAGGTAGAATAATAAGTAAAACGTATTGCCATGGTAGATTCACAGTCACGACCATCTCTTTTTGTACACACAAAGACCTGGTTTATAAACTCGAATTGCACAGCACTCTGCAACTGCAAGCATCTTCTTGTTTGTTTGTCTGTCTGCTGACAATGGTGAATGACTTGACCGTGTCGATATAATGTCCATAGTCCACAAGACGTTTTGTTATTGAAGTTTTTGGCACTTTGCACTCAGCTGTTTTCAACCATTTTGGCAAATGCTCCATTATGCGAGTAGAGAAGAGCCTTTCTGTACGACCAGTGTAAATGCTTCCACAAACATACCGAAATTGATATCCGCAGTTTGAAGTGTCAATGACTGGCGATTGATCTTTCCTAGATTGTTTAAGCACTCGCTTAATGGTGTTAAGGAAAACAAGTTTTGCAGCATAATACGTTCTCTTGATAGCTTTGTCGAGTCTTCGTTTCACTACTTCTTGTACATCATCTCCTTTGGTCGTCGAATTGATATGGACTGATTTCTTCGGAATTGTTTGGATAGATTTACAGGGGCTCATCTCTCTGTAGAGTATTTATTAATGAACTTTATAGATAAATTATCCTTCGGAGCTTTTATTTCATGCTCAGCTGCGCTGTCAGAATAAATTTCTTCTGCTCTATTGAACGGTGTTATGACTAATTTATTTTTATACTGGATTGGAACAAAGTTCTTGAAATGCATCTACTGTCCTCTCCATGAGGAGTTTCCAAATATAGATCTTTCGATTGTGCCATCAGTCCTTTTCATTGCTAGAGAAACGTCTAGGAATTTAATAGTATCATTTTCTTCGTGTTCTATTGTGAAATTGACATCTGGGTGGCATGAGTTGAATACATTAATTCCTTCTTTATTAACCTTTGTTGCTTGTTTTAAATTCTTACCGGGAAATAAATATTTTTAATTGGATGTTGGTTTAAGAGTGACTTAGAGACGATTTTGTGAGGAAGAAATGAAAGCTTATAGGCAACCGTGGAGCTAACTAAGAGGGACTGTAGAGAACGGGGTGGTATGAAGATCTGCTGTTGAAGCGATGTGTTCCATCTGGAAGCCAAGGAAACAAGAATAAATAGACATAAAAATATAATATCGGGAATTCAAATGACAACAAGATAACTTATATATATGTTCAGCTTACAAGGTTGCAAATATATTCCTGGGATGCCCTCTGGAAAAATTTAAATAAAACATGGAGTTACAGGATTAAGATAAATATATATTAGAATGGTTAATCAGTAAGCTTCCTCACCTCTTCATATTTTCACTCCCGATGATAAACGAATCAAGAGATGTAGTTTGTAGGAACGACTAACGATACGAACTAATGCTACCAGTCGTCAAAATACCGTTTTCTTATAAATAGATATGTAGAGGAACGGTAACAGCACAAGACAAGGGCCAGGCAACTGATCGTTTATTAAGGAAATCAACACATACTTATGTATTTTCAGGTACAGTATTATAGGTTGTTGTTAGCAAAGAAAGTGTCTTCTGATTGGTTATTTTCCCCTGAAAGCTAATCGGTTATCTCTACGCGACCGTTTCTTTGATGGTCAGACCATATATCTGTGAATCGTATCCGCCCACGCATAGTCTGCTGTTGTGATTGGTTGTTGAGTTAGTCTTTGTTCTTGTTCTTGATTTTTCTCATGACCAAGATGGCAAAGTCAAACTTTTGACACCACTAACAACCAATCAGCAAACGACTTTGAACGGACCAATCACACTAAGGAGGTATATTATGATCAATTGAAATGTACATTTATACAAAAAGCATAAAACTGTTACAGGGGGTATCTTTCCCTAACATGTGAGAGAAACATCTTCCAGTTAAGCATCGGACTGTCAATAGAAAATTTACACTACATTCTGTACATATATTCATCCAAATGACTAAAAATGAGATTCTTTTGAGATCCATTTATAGCCGTTATCCTATTTTTCAACCTGCCCCAAAATCCTTCAATTAAATTTGTATGTCCCCTCATAACGGGATCGACAAAGTCACTTGAATGGTTGACTCTATGATGAATATATCCCAGAGATAACAGGGAATTGTAAACTTTTCATTTGTCCGTATGTATTATAGATCCTCGTTTTACAAGTCTCGTAATAATAGGTATTAAAGTAGTTGCTTTTCTGTCTGCTATTCTTTCGACGAATCCTATTCTGAGGGAGGTGTCATACAAACCTATTACCCAAATATAGTTCGCTCGCTGCCGAGCACGATTGTATTTCTTTTTCACCAACACAGTTGCATCGACGTGCACAACAACGTCTTCTCCACCCAAAAACGAAGCGAATTTCTCCCATTTCTACGAAGCAATATCTCTGCAATGCTCATACAATTGGACTGTTGAGATGAGGCTATTCTCTGTCCCAGCAGCTACAGCGCTCACTGGCTGTCTCAAGACCCAGTAGTTGCAGATATGCGAAATTCGCTTCAAGGAGAGGTGTGACCTTGCAAAAAAGTTCCTACAAAATATTAAAATTATCAGCTTACCCTCTCTAATGCTAACTCGCTTCAAGCATATTGCACAACGATGGACAAATCCATCAGTTGACCTGCTAGAGCTTTTTATAGTCATGACACCACTACACGAACAGGTTCTCTCCTTCCAGAGCAACCCTAGATCCAGGCAATGATGGAAAACAGTACCCTCCTCGAGTTGCAAACGTAACCTTGTAAGGTCACGCATTAGAAATGAATCAAGCGTTATACATCATTGAACTAAAGTTTGTGAATCTCATTGGATAATTCGACGTCAGTCGCTGATTGGTAGTTAGTGGTGATCAAAGTTTAACTTGGCCACCAAGATTTGGGAATGTAAACATTGACATAAATTGCTGTCTACCAATTTTGACTAGCAGACAGCTCTCACCACAGAACTATATGAATATCATTGTTTATATATTTAGATGTAAAGGTTACTTCCATTGCCTTGGCTATACAAATTTTACCGATATATTAATCAGACGATATGGAAGAGATACATAAGGATGTGTTGTTGAAACTATTATTCTTTCACGCTGTTATCGAGTGTCAGCGACCAGATGATTCTGTGGTGAGAGCCATCTGCTAGTCGAAATTAGTAGACACCAATTTACGTCAATGTTTACAATCCAAAATCTAAGAGTGGGGTGAAAACGTTGGCAGAAAACCGAATTCAATAGGGACATTGGGGCTGAAAGCTTATGTTCCTCTAGGAATTAAAGGATATAATAATAATAATAATCAGGTTGAATTTTAATTAAAATATCTGATAAATGGAAATTTAGTGGGTTAAGACGATTTAAACTAGATATTTTGGTTAAGAACTTCAAGCGTAACCGAAAATCAGGAACGATCTGTTCGACGTTGCAACAAGTACCTAATGTGGTTAATAAAGTAGGATTTAATTATGGATTCATCTAATTTCGGTAGAACCCTTCAGCTGCTGAACACTCTACATACGGGGATATATATATATATACTTTTGAAATTACATTGGGAGATATAAGGCTGATAAGTAAACGAACTACATTGAATTAGTCACGCAGAAAGACACTTCCGAATGTTTTGCAGGTCATGTTCAAATAGATAAGTGATGGAAGGGAGTATGGGACATCAAAATTAAGATAAATTGCATTACGCTTCAATTACACATCACTTAGATAAACAATTAGTCATTAGAGAATATAACAAGAATTGCAAACAGACTAATATCAATAGTAATATTTATAGTAACAATAATAATAATAATAATAGTGTTGAAGTGAGTTAAGATAATCCTACTGATAAAAGATAGTTTTAAATGAATCAAGAATAATAATAAGAGGTAGAATAATAAGTAAAACGTATTGCCATGGTAGATTCACAGTCACGACCATCTCTTTTTGTACACACAAAGACCTGGTTTATAAACTCGAATTGCACGGCACTCTGCAACTGCAAGCATCTTCTTGTTTGTTTGTCTGTCTGCTGACAATGGTGAATGACTTGACCGTGTCGATATAATGTCCATAGTCCACAAGACGTTTTGTTATTGAAGTTTTTGGCACTTTGCACTCAGCTGTTTTCAACCATTTTGGCAAATGCTCCATTATGCGAGTAGAGAAGAGCCTTTCTGTACGACCAGTGTAAATGCTTCCACAAACATACCGAAATTGATATACGCAGTTTGAAGTGTCAATGACTGGCGATTGATCTTTCCTAGATTGTTTAAGCACTCGCTTAATGGTGTTAAGGAAAACAAGTTTTGCAGCATAATACGTTCTCTTGATAGCTTTGTCGAGTCTTCGTTTCACTACTTCTTGTACATCATCTCCTTTGGTCGTCGAATTGATATGGACTGATTTCTTCGGAATTGTTTGGATAGATTTACAGGGGCTCATCTCTCTGTAGAGTATTTATTAATGAACTTTATAGATAAATTATCCTTCGGAGCTTTTATTTCATGCTCAGCTGCACTGTCAGAATAAATTTCTTCTGCTCTATTGAACGGTGTTATGACTAGTTTATTTTTATACTGGATTGGAACAAAGTTCTTGAAATGCATCTACTGTCCTCTCCATGAGGAGTTTCCAAATATAGATCTTTCGATTGTGCCATCAGTCCTTTTCATTGCTAGAGAAACGTCTAGGAATTTAATAGTATCATTTTCTTCGTGTTCTATTGTGAAATTGACATCTGGGTGGCATGAGTTGAATACATTAATTCCTTCTTTATTAACCTTTGTTGCTTGTTTTAAATTCTTACCGGGAAATAAATATTTTTAATTGGATGTTGGTTTAAGAGTGACTTAGAGACGATTTTGTGAGGAAGAAATGAAAGCTTATAGGCAACCGTGGAGCTAACTAAGAGGGACTGTAGAGAACGGGGTGGTATGAAGATCTGCTGTTGAAGCGATGTGTTCCATCTGGAAGCCAAGGAAACAAGAATAAATAGACATAAAAATATAATATCGGGAATTCAAATGACAACAAGATAACTTATATATATGTTCAGCTTACAAGGTTGGAATTATATTTTTGGGCCACCCTCTGGAAAAATTTAAATAAAACACGGAGTTACAGGATTAAGATAAATATATATTAGAATGGTTAATCAGTAAGCTTCCTCACCTCTTCATATTTTCACTCCCGATGATAAACGAATCAAGAGATGTAGTTTGTAGGAACGACTAACGATACGAACTAATGCTACCAGTCGTCAAAATACCGTTTCCTTATAAATAGATATGTAGAGGAACGGTAACAGCACAAGACAAGGGCCAGGCAACTGATCGTTTATTAAGGAAATCAACACATACTTATGTATTTTCAGGTACAGTATTATAGGTTGTTGTTAGCAAAGAAAGTGTCTTCTGATTGGTTATTTTCCCCCTGAAAGCTAATCGGTTATCTCTACGTGACCGTTTCTTTGAAGGTCAGACCATATATCTGTGAATCGTATCCGCCCACGCATAGTCTGCTGTTGTGATTGGTTGTTGAGTTAGTCTTTGTTCTTGTTCTTGATTTTTCTCATGACCAAGATGGCAAAGTCAAACTTTTGACACCACTAACAACCAATCAGCAAACGACTTTGAACGGACCAATCACACTAAGGAGGTATATTATGATCAATTGAAATGTACATTTATACAAAAAGCATAAAACTGTTACAGGGGGTATCTTTCCCTAACATGTGAGAGAAACATCTTCCAGTTAAGCATCGGACTGTCAATAGAAAATTTACACTACATTCTGTACATATATTCATCCAAATGACTAAAAATGAGATTCTTTTGAGATCCATTTATAGCCGTTATCCTATTTTTCAACCTGCCCCAAAATCCTTCAATTAAATTTGTATGTCCCCTCATAACGGGATCGACAAAGTCACTTGAATGGTTGACTCTATGATGAATATATCCCAGAGATAACAGGGAATTGTAAACTTTTCATTTGTCCGTATGTATTATAGATCCTCGTTTTACAAGTCTCGTAATAATAGGTATTAAAGTAGTTGCTTTTCTGTCTGCTATTCTTTCGACGAATCCTATTCTGAGGGACGTGTCATACAAACCTATTACCCAAATATAGTTCGCTCGCTGCCGAGCACGATTGTATTTCTTTTTCACCAACACAGTTGCATCGACGTGCACAACAACGTCTTCTCCACCCAAAAACGAAGCGAATTTCTCCCATTTCTACGAAGCAATATCTCTGCAATGCTCATACAATTGGACTGTTGAGATGAGGCTATTCTCTGTCCCAGCAGCTACAGCGCTCACTGGCTGTCTCAAGACCCAGTAGTTGCAGATATGCAAAATTCGCTTCAAGGAGAGGTGTGACCTTGCAAAAAAGTTCCTACAAAATATTAAAATTATCAGCTTACCCTCTCTAATGCTAACTCGCTTCAAGCATATTGCACAACGATGGACAAATCCATCAGTTGACCTGCTAGAGCTTTTTATAGTCATGACACCACTACACGAACAGGTTCTCTTCTTCCAGAGCAACCCTAGATCCAGGCAATGATGGAAAACAGTACCCTCCTCGAGTTGCAAACGTAACCTTGTAAGGTCACGCATTAGAAATGAATCAAGCGTTATACATCATTGAACTAAAGTTTGTGAATCTCATTGGATAATTCGACGTCAGTCGCTGATTGGTAGTTAGTGGTGATCAAAGTTTAACTTGGCCACCAAGATTTGGGAATGTAAACATTGACATAAATTGCTGTCTAACAATTTTGACTAGCAGACAGCTCTCACCACAGAACTATATGAATATCATTGTTTATATATTTAGATGTAAAGGTTACTTCCATTGCCTTGGCTATACAAATTTTACCGATATATTAATCAGACGATATGGAAGTGATACATAAGGATATGTTGTTGAAACTATTATTCTTTCACGCTGTTATCGAGTGTCAGCAACCAGATGATTCTGTGGTGAGAGCCATCTGCAAGTCGAAATTAGTAGACACCAATTTACGTCAATGTTTACATTCCAAAATCGTGGTCATGAGAAAAAAGAAGAATAATATCAATGACTAACTCAACAACCAATCAAAACATCAGACTTTGTGTTGGGGATACATTTCGCAATATATGTAATCTGACCTTCAAATTAATGTTCATCAAAACAACCAATCACTAGACTCTGTTTCTCTGCTAATAATAACGCTAATAATAATGTACATGAATATCTATAAATATCTGTTGACTTCCTCAATAAACGATCTGTTACCTGACCCCTGTCTTCTGTCGTTGCGATTCTACGAGCACAGTTTATTGTTCCTTATGATATCAGCATGATGTGTTTTCATTACGGGCGATTATATTCTATCAGGGTGTGTTCTATCATATAAAACTATCAAATACGGGATCTTATTTTATAATACTGTCTAAATTCTATTCATAAACAGATTCTGGTTCACAGTACTGTCTAAACCTTGGAGGGATATCCTAAAGAAGAGCAACTCAATTGCACACTTGTTAGAAACATTTCATTGGCTACTTAATGACCTATCGGAATACTTTGACGAACGATTCACTGCATGCTAAATGTTTAACATTTAGACAACGTAGGTTGAATCTTTCCATACAGTTGACAACTTATTACCCGCACGAGAATTTATAAAATAAATGTAAAAATGAATAGTTTTTTTGTATTCTAACGTAATTTCGGTGGAAATTTTGTGGGAGTAACATTATTTTCTGCGAGTAGTGATCGTCTGTTCTAACTATCAAAGAGTAATCGATTAGTATTGGTCCACTTTGCTTCTATCAAACAAATGTGGAACGTCACTTGCTATTTAGTGATGCAATAAAAGACTTCCTTACACAGTAACTTGTTTAATTCATAATCAGTAACTCACGTTGTATCACGAGACAGTTTTCTGAGAGGAGATAATGACAAAATCAAAAAATGTCTCATCTTCATTAAATTTAAAAAGGGTGTTTATTCATTAAAAAGAGATGCAGAACAATCCTTTCTTGCTGCTAGCTTTTATCATAAATGTGTACATCGTTTCAATACATTGGATTAATTAAGGTAACATCAATCAATTTAGAGTGTTACTTTACACATACGTAGTATAATTGTGAAGATTTCATCGATTTAAAAGTATATTTCGTCACAAATAGACAACGGTGAGGAGTACTGCATAACTGCTTCGTCAGTGTTTATAGATTGTTTAGCAGCCTCAAAGTGTATAACATGCATTTTAGCGAAGTAATAGGCTTGAATACATTAATTATACTGAATGTTTTATATAGCGGTGATCTATTAAATTTTGATATTTAAGGGAGAAACTATTACTGAAGTAATTAAAAGTCATTTATCCAAAGTGCTACTAACTTATACCTGATATTCTTGAGACAAAGTAAACTTTGATAATGCTTGAAGGATGATTTGAACTCCCTATATTCACCTGTATCCGCATTCACTCTTTTTATATGTTGTTATGGAGATAAATACATTGAACAGCGTATGCATGTTCTCTGGAAAAGCATAGTTGCACATGAAATAAAGCTTAAACACCTTAAATCCCTCTAAATGTTAAACAGTCAATTTCACCTTTAGGCACAAATCTGACTGACCTAAACAAACTGGTTATCACTCACGAGGTGTGCAACATAGATGGCAATGAAATATAGACCAAGTCGGAAATTGAATACCTAGGCGTCATTCTACCTGCTGATCTTTCCTGGTCGTCTCATATCTTGATGATTTCTAAGAAAACATTCCGTCTCACCTTCTACATCAAGAAATTAAGATATTCTGGACTAGCCTAACCCTCACTCCTACAATTCGTTAACTCTCGCATTCTGCCTATTATTCTCTCTTGTTCCCCCTTAGTTTTTCCTCGGCTACTGAAGAAAGACTATACCTTATTACGCAGGATGTTGAAGGTTGTCAGCAGGGTAAGCAAAGTGCCACTTAACCAGCTTGTTAATATTCTGGTTGACAGGCACATGGACTCGTTTGAAAAATGGACTAAATCCATTCTATCTAACTCACACCACCCTCTTCATTCACAACCCTCCCCTTGTATCTCATCAGGCAGAACCAGAAGCCTATATAGAAAACTATGTGCTTGCACTAGCAAGTACAAAAACTCAACCGTGCCCTACTTAGCTCGTGTTCTATGAGATAAAGAAAGCATTAGGCATGAAACCTATAACTTATTAAATAGTCAGCAGAACAACTGGATTTCATCTTTCCAACTCATATCACTTATAGGAAGAACGTTTTCTATATTTCTTTTCCTTTTTTCTCCCTCTTTTTTCTGTTATGCGCTGTTTGGTTTCTCTCTTCCTTACAAACTCTATTTAAAACATTCTACTTCGTTCTCTCACACTCTGTATATCTCGACCATTTTTGTTACCGCTTACTCCAGTAAATATGCTAGTAGTATCTACTTTTCTAACACCTTCAAACATTCTGTTCACCTTTGGCTTTGCTACCGACCGATATGCTAATATGTTGTTGTCAAAACTAACTGAGATTACCTTAATCTATGTAGAATTTTATTTTATTGTTAATTTACTAACTGGATGCAATACTGTATGTAGTGAAATGCTGAGAATTCCATTCTGTATCACAAGTACTGTTTTAAAATAATTTTATGAATAATAATTTTTTCCTTCACGTTCCCTGTGGAACATAGGGCTACAAGCTAGTGGCTTGAAGTTTCTGTAGCAGTGTTCATTTTTAATTTTACAGGATGGGGTTGTTAGCCTCATGCCCAAACCTTTCCTCTTTACCAGCATCATTTCTGGCTCAGTGAAGTAAAGGAGTGCGCCGGCCGGGGATCGAACCGTGGACCATGTGCATGGTCGGCGAGCGTCCTATCCGCTATACCACTAACTCACAGTTTTGGAATAAAGTAAATTATTATTACTATTAAATCCATTTCTTGCCCTTTTTGATTAACATTCTATATAGTGCTTCGCTGTGGACTAATTATATGACGAAAGCATTCATGAATTTTTTTTTTTCAGATGGAACTTTTGCTCACTAGAAGGGAAACATTTAGGGTTCTTTTATTTCACTAGTTTCACTTGTCTTTAAAACTGCCTGTAGTTCAAACAGGAGAATTTTAATCAAGTGTGAGTCTGTCTACACAACAAATCTTGTTATTTTTTTTTACTTTGATGAAAACATGCACATTCTTTATTCAGTCATTAATGATTTTAAATAAAAGTAGTGAATAGTGAAAATAAACTCACATTTCATGAAGTGCTTCATCCCTGAAGTATGCAAAACAGAAGAGATTATATATATTAACCTAGAATATTATCATTATTTCCTTTAATTACTAGAGGAATATACGGCTTCAGTCCCAATGTCCCCATTGCGTTCGGTTCTCTGCCAACGTTTTCACCCCACTCCAAGTCTGCCCACATGCTTTCATCTCCTCTTCATATGACCTCCTCCAAGTCACCCTCACACTGACGACCAACTCGCCGCTTCCCGTTCGGGTGCCACTCGAGCGATGGCTTGTCTTGTGATGTCACTTGATGGTTTCCTCAGCGTATGGCCAGTCCATCTCCATTTCTTCCTGCCTATTTGTTTCACAATCGGTTCCTGGTTGGTTGGTTCGCTCATTGCCAGAGATCCGTGTTGCTGATCTTTTCTGGCCGGCCATCTGATCTTGAGTAGTATTGAGCGAAGACAACTGTTAATGAAGGTCTGAAGTTTGTTTGAGGTGGTCTTGATGACGCGCTGACCGGGTCTCTGATCCGTAAAGTGGCACTGACTTCACATTGAAGTTGAAAATCCGGATATTATTCTCATTTTCCTTCTGAGTGCTGTTGACTTCCACACAGACTTGAGAGTAATGAAAGCCTGTCTTGCTTTTCCGATTCTGCCTTCGATATCCTCGTCAGTTCCGTCCGCCTGTAGTTGAAACGATGCTTCCCAAGTAGGTAGGTGGGTGAAGGAGGTTGTTTCTTTCAGGTTCCTCCCATTTATCCTGGCTGATTGTTGTCTGTTGTTGTTGTTGCTGTTGGTGTTGGCCAGGAATCTTCATCACCTCTGTTTTCTCTATGTTTACCTGTATCCCTATCTTCTCTGGATGCTTCTTCTGTCAACTTGTGCTTTTCACTTGCATATCTTGTAGTTTGTGGGAAATCAGACGTATATCATTGGCGAAGTCCATATCCTCCAAGTTTTTTGTGTGAGTCCATTTTATGCCTGTTTCTTCATTGCCCGCCACTTTCTGTCGCATTATCCAATCCACTGCAACCTAGAATATATACCACCGAAATTATTTAATTGAATTTTAGATTTTCCCTTTATTTGATTTGCCCGAAGTGCACAAGAAGCCAACAGACATGTCAACCTGAGACCAAGGAGCACTTCGGGGTCCAATCAATCGACGGGAAAATCTAAAAATTCCATTAAATAATTATTATATGAACCGTTGCACAAGGGGTAGCTGGCTGTTGTGGCTCAAGTGGTCCAGTTTATAACGCTTTGACTGGCATTTGAAACAATGGCCACTGGGTTCGAGTCTCGGCGGGAACATCATCATCACTCACTGACTGGGAATGCAGGTACATCCAGCTGGAGGACGAGTCTCAAATAGGACGAAATGCACATCTTGACTGGATTCCACTGCTAGTCACTATCCAACAATTAAATACTATTAAAATGTCTGCCATGTTTTCGGTGGAGCGTCAAGTTTCTGAGCTATATGAAAACACAAATTGGACATTGTCTAATTCACTGTGAATTGAAGGCTTCTAAATTTCTTCAAATAATTCCCACTGTGGTGAATGAATGAATCCTAGCTGGTCCTAGCTGAGGAGTATTCGTCTAGATTAAATGCCTACTAATTTCTTCGCTGGAATATTCCCTTTACTGACAACACAAGTTTATTCAGCATACTGACTCTATAAGTCCTCAGTACATCATCCACTACCTCACAAGCTAAATCGAATGTACAATTATTGTTTGATATAAGTGTTAAAATGTGAAATTCATATATATATATATATATATATATTATAAATACTACAGAAAACCGGAAAATAATTTTAGACGGCAAATAATCAATATCTGGACTCACAACATCTGAACTCCTTGGTTGCTAATGGTTACGAAATCAAAATTCAACAGAGTAGTTAATATTTTATCATTTCTTTTGATAAAGATACAAATTTGAAACCTTATACTCATATTACGTGTAAATAATATTGCTCCTTGCTGTTTTGAAGAGAGTACGAGACTTCAAACTACAACTTTAATGTTATTATCACTCCAAACCTTCCCACCGTAAGGGGTTTAAAACTAGTTAGGCGGGGTTTAGCAGCTCATGGAGGTAGGGATTTTGTGTTTGATCGCATGGAGGATTTCATCATGAGCTGATATCAGTTAGAGAACCACTGGAAAACAAGTTGGGAGTACTGGACAGCTGCTTCGTCACACTAGTTTGGGATTCTTCAGCAGTGCGCATCAAAAGGTGTTTAAATCCATGGCCTTCTGGTTACAAGGCGTGTTCGGAGACGATTGAGCCACTGAGACCCGATCCAAGGGTTCTTGAATTCTAACTTCTGCGAATTCACGAAATAGCACGACCATTTCGCAATGTCTTCGTCGATGAGTTACTGCCTCATCTTCAACCTGCTGTAGCCTACTGGTCACGGCTTCCCACTAGAACCCCAGGTAAACTGCCTGAATAGGGCCAGTCACTAGTGAGCATCAGATTAATTTTCAAGTATTGGTTTTTGTAGGGATTTTGTTTGATTGGTTGGAGGATTTTATCATGAGCTGACATGAGTTAGAGAACCACTGGAAAACCTTGGTTCGAACTCCAGTGGGTGCGTGCTGCTGAAGAATCCCAAACTAGTGGGACGAAACAACTGTCCAGTACTCCCAACTTGTTTTCCAGTGGTTCTTTAACTGATATCACCTCATGATGAAATCCTCCATGTGATCGGGGATTATCATCCTGTTGAACTGTAGACACACCCAGTACAACAGTGATCTTTATCACACTGTAATTATTACCAGTTTTATTATTGTAATAATAATTTATAACGGAATATTCAAAATTACTTCCTTGATAATGGTTAGCATTGAATGCGCTTTTCTTCTATCTTGGGAAATATCAACTGGACATAACTGTAGGCTTTCTGTTAATGCTGTCTGAAATGAGCATCCAATATAGCAGCCATCGTTTCAAATTTCACCAAGTAAATAACAAAACTTTGATGTCAAGAGAACTACAAAACATCTGTGATAAGTGGCAAGGCTTTAGAAGAGAATGAGCGATGTAATCTGACTAGGAATTAAGAGTAATATTCATGAAAATGGTCTGTTTTGACAACAAATAGAACGATATTGGTTATAGACATCTTGTTGTGGTTGTGCTCTCTGATCTGGATAGTTAATTTGCGAGGTTTTCATCGGCCTACTTAGCAAAATCTTCAGCGCATACTTCAGTTTGAATTGAAGTGAGCTTTTTGATTTCTTCACGCGTATGCGTTGAAGATGTCGCCTAGTAGAGCGATGAAAGCTTCGCAAATTAGCTATTCAGCTCAGAGAACACAACCAAATCACAAAATCATCCATCTGAGCTACAAATCTTCTCTATCAAATCTGTACTAGAGATCATTTATGGGCTAAATTAATCCTCTCATTAGCGAACAGGTGATGACATCTAGGTATACCTGAAGCAGTCGGAACATTCGGGAAAACATTGTGGGTAAGAAAAGAGTTATTTCGATGTTTTTCGTCAAAGTAACCATCATAGTCAACTTACTGTCTGAATAAAATCATCACTGCGTTCACTCTTTGGACTTCTTCCTTTATTTCACATTTCGATTCCTAAGTTACATTATTATCACCCTCATTTCGCTTCATCATCGAACAAAGCATAGAATGGCAATCAAACATCTACCTCAACTTTATAGACTTTGAGAAGACTTTCGCTAGACAGCGTTGACCTCGAAGTAATTTGTAAATTACTCGAGTAATACAGCATACAGTGCCCCGAATATTCATTCATCAACTTTATTCAACAGCTGTACGACAACGGCGCATGTCAAGTGATCACAATCGGAAAACTTAACGAGGCGTTCGGAGTAAACGCAGAAATCAGACAAGGGTGCTTATTATCACCCACCATGATATTCCTAATTATGCGTCAGATAGTGGGAAACGAGAAGACAGGAATATCCTGGACCGACCGACGTGAAGAACCTAGAAAACCTGGATTTCGCACGTGGGTGATTCATGTTTGGTCTCACACAAAATCGAAAACTTATAAGCGAAAACCGACAAACTGGTTGAAGAAGCAGCCGGTGAGGACAGGAATCCAGATGAACATAGACAAGACGGAGGTTATGAAAATTACCAACCAACTAACCAACAACAGCAGCAGCAGGAGCAACATCCAGCACCAATCACCATCAACAAGAGGGATTTGAAACAGGTTACTTCATTCACTTCACTTATCTAGCATTGAGTATCGTCTCAACTACAGGAAGTCGGAACGGACAAGGATGTCGAATCGAGCGAGAATCGGGAAGGCAAGTGAGAAACACATTCATCAACCTTACTGAAATCAATGTGGAAATCTTCGTCACTCAGCCAGCATCAACAACAAAATTCGGTAAGATTTTCAAAACAAACACGTCAAGTCAGTCAGTTCTTCTATACGGAACGGATGAGAAACTTGGCGAGCGTGTCACAAAGAATATTTCCAATAGTCTGTTGCAGAACCTTACCAACAAACAACTGTATTCGCTGACTCTATATTGAAGACCAGATGGCCGGCCTGGAAGTAATCACCAACAAGAAACTGTGGGAACAAACAAACAAAACAAGAACAAACCAATCGACAACTAACAAATATGCAGGAGAAAGTGGATGGAGATGGATTGGAGACTCGCTGAGGAGGCCGCTGGGTGACATCGCCCGCGTGTCAGGCCATCGTTCGAGCGGTACTAGGCCGAAAGGGAATCGGCTAGTGGGACGTCAGTGCAAGTGTGACATGGAGGAGATGGTGTGAAGAGGAGTTGAAACAGAATGAACTAACATGGATGCAGGTGAAAATTACAGCAGAAGGAAGACAGAAGTGGCAAGTGGAGGCGTGGAGTTGAAGCCCTATGTTCCACTAGGATCCCAAGAGAACAATAATATATATTATAATTTCGCTTTCTATTTTAATTGAACTCATGACCGGAAATAGTTTTTTTGAATTCATGATCTTGTGGTTTTTCACATAACCACTATGCCATCTAGTTGACACCGTCTTCCAAAAGCCAAAACGTCTACCTTCAATCTAATCAGGTTTCTATTTTTTTGGTAGAATTTATTTGCGTGCAACAGAGAATGAAATAGAATAATAAAAATAGTAAAAGTACGAATTTCTGAGTAAAATGTGAGATGAAACTGAATTTTTCCGCTCTTTCCGTAAAATTCATTGTCGTTTTAGCCGTAGAACTATTTTCAATAAAGACGATAGTAACAAAATTGATGGTTTGTCATAATCATAGTACATAGAGGAGCATACGGCTTCAGCCCCAATGTCTCCATAGCGTTCGGTTCTCTGACAACGTTTTCACCCCACTCCAAGTCTGCCCACATGCTTTCATCTCCTCTTCATATGACCTCCTCCAAGTCACCCTCACACTGACGACCAACTCGCCGCTTCCCGTTCGGGTGCCACTCGAGCGATGGCTTGTCTTGTGATGTCACTTGATGGTTTCCTCAGCGTATGGCCAATCCAACTCCATTTCTTCCTGCCTATTTGTTGTACGATCAGTTCTTGGTTGGTTCTTTCATTGACAGAGATCCCTGTTGCTGATCTTTTCTGGCCGGCCATCTGATCTTGAGTATTGAGCGAAGACAGCTGTTAATAAATATGCGTAGTTTGCTTGAGGTGGTCTTTATGACGCGCGAAGTCTCTGATCCGTATAGTAGCACTGACTTTACATTAGAGATGAAAATCCGGATGTTATTTTTGATGCTGAGTGCTGTTGACATCCACACAGACTTGAGAGTAATGAAAGCCTGTCTTGCTTTTCCGATTCTGTCTTCGATATCATCGTCAGTTACGTCCGCCTGTAGTTGAAACGATGCTTCCCAAGTAGGTAGGTGGGTGAAGGAGGTTGTTTCTTTCAGGTTCCTCCCATTTATCCTGGCTGATTGTTGTCTGTTGTTGTTGTTGCTGTTGGTGTTGGCCAGGAATCTTCATCACCTCTGTTTTCTCTATGTTTACCTGTATCCCTATCTTCTCTGGATGCTTCTTCTGCCAACTTGTGCTTTTCACTTGCATATCTTGTAGTTTGTGGGAAATGAGACATATATCATCGGCGAAGTCCATATCCTCCAAGTCTCTTTGTGTGTGAGTCCTCATTGTCCGCTGCTTTCTGTCGCATTATCCAATCAATTGCAATCAGGAAGATCACTGGTAATAGTAGACAGCCTTACCTCACTCCCGTTATCACTGCAAAGGCTTCCGTAAATTTCCCGTTGTGGATTACTTGGCATGCAGCATTGTCTTATGACTGTTGGATGAGATGTATAATTGTCGATGGGACCCCACAGCAGTAGCGAAGTAGTTGCCAGATGACCTCTCGATCGACGCTGTTGAAGGCCTTTTCAAAGTCGATGAAGTTGAGTGAGGTGGAGAGGTGACTGCCATTCCAAGCTTTGTTCCATGATGATCCGTAGAGTAACGATTTGATCAATACATGATTTGTTTCTCCTGAATCCAACTTGTTCCGATCGGATTCTTCTTAACGAATAGATATTATTTTAAAAAAAACACAAATATTGACTACTGGTCTAGAATATTCTATGCATATAAACATGTACAGATAATTGTAGAGCCAGAATGGGAGGAATTTATCGAAAAGAATATTCTTTCCTCGCTCGATTATTTTGTGTTTTATTAATGCCTGAATGAATATTTTTGCTATATAATAACATTGTATACACGTTTGATTGTATAGCTAAAGGAAATGAACTAGTCGAAAGGAAGCTCTTCGGTGAGCTATTTATTCTGTTTTGTTTCTTCAATGACTGAAGTATTATTATTATTATTCATAAATTTAAAACTCTAGACCTACATTTCATTGATCTTTTCCATCCTGTTATTAGTATAAGAGAAAAATAAGAAATACAAATTGCCAGTTTTTGTTTAAAACAAAGTTGTGAGAAATGAAATAAATAAACTACAAGGATAAGTTTATTGAAAAGTTCCATATTTTTCATTTAGGTGTGTGTTCTCTGAACCGGATGATTTAATTCTGCGGCTTTCATTGCCTTCCTAGAAACCTGCCGGTTGGTACTCAATTGAATCAGCCAGCGATTAACTAATACACATTCCTAACGACGAAATTTATCAACTAATAAAAAAATTAAAGACAGATTCAGCGAAGAAAATTCCTTTCTTTATCGACGAAATCATCTTCAGAGGCTGGCTGTACAGTCGTATTCATACCTACAAAAAATATATAGTGGTCTATTGTTGAGTAATAGGGGGTGGGTGACATACTTGATATAATTACTTAGAAGTGGCTTCAGAAGTGAAAATTAAAAGTTGTAAATTACATGGTACTCAACGGAACAAAGATAGAAGTTTGATAAGATTAAATTTGCTATTGAGTAAGAATAAAGCTAGTTGAGTGTCAATTTAACAAGTGTGAAGAGGGTGTGAAAATAGACAAAAGGAGCATATGAAACTGATAATAGTGAATTAATTATTGAAGCAAAAGTAAACTAAAATTAAAATTAAAAAAGAAAGGAAAAAGTCAAAAATGTTATTAGGAAACGACTAGTGAAGAGGTTAAGACCAAGGTAGAATAAGAGACTGGAGAAACTTTTTCCTCTGTATACAGAGTTCAGGGTTGTATTGATGAATTGCCAGAGCCTCCGCCATACACAAAAGTCGAAACCCGAAGCCTTTTGTACAATTCGGCTTCACATTGTAGATGATCTTGAAAGACAACTCTGGTGGAGCTACGTGGCCTGAGTTCACGAAATGCCCGAGAATTGAGCTAGTAATTGTCTTGCATTGTCCCTTTGTTAACCATGCCGGATAATGTTCATAGATGCGTTTGGAAAGTGTGCACTTTGTTTGTGCGGCCAATATAACTAGCACCACACGAGCAGGTGAATTTTTATAAACACGCATTGAGGTGGCCCAAAGCGGCAGTTTATCCCTCATACATCCATTGATCATTTGTCGGCTGTAGAAATTGATACGTCGTAGCTCAGCCATAAAAGAAGAAGGCTTTCCTCAGCGATCTGCATAAGCAGCGATTCTTCAGGATCTCAGCTGCGGTATCACCTTCAAATTCAACACTCATAAATAGCAGTTTTTTTCGGCACGGTCTGGATTCTTGAAGGCTTTTCCCTTTAACTTCATGTTTTTCTCTATAAACCTTGGAAGGTATCCATCCATCCTCTATGAGGACTGGTCTGAGTCGCCCTAGTTCTCCATCGATTGTATGCCAAATAGCTCACAGACATCCTCGTACCTATCAGAAATAACCTCTGCAAGCATAGTGTTTCTGATTTGTTTGAATTCGTCGATTCAAGAAGTGACACTAGTGTATCCGGGATGAAAATGATGTTCATGGATGTTACTTTGCTTCTCGCCAAACTGTACAGCCTCTGAAGATGATTTCTTCGATAAAGAAAATTTTCTTCGCTGAATCTGTCTTGAATTATAAGTTCGTTTCACACACTAAAACCTACACTGAAGATGTTGTCTGGAAAGGGGGGGGGCAACGAAAGCTTCACAATTAAATCAACTGGCTCTTCAGAAAATATAACTAAATCAAAATCCTATTAATATATGTGCAAACCTTGACCACTGTGGTAGTAAGTAATCCCAAATTAGTTTGTTTATTAGATGTATCACACTGTGAGTGAAACAGTATTATCATTATCTACTAGATGACACAGTTTCGAACACAATTTATTGCTTTTCATAATCATATCATCAATTATAATCACACAACTTCAAAACTTGAGTTTTATAGTTTTCTCTATTCTCTCCTATTTGTCGTCTTTGAGGTAGTAGAACTTTTCAGATTTCTGGGTGGATAGGTGTTGAATCATCCCTATTGCAGACACGTATTTCCAGTTGATTCGATAAACAAAACGTCTGTTATCAGTCTCTCCCTCCACCCTGCTGTTACATTAGATTTTAAAGCTGTCATCTTATCCCAGCCTATTGTGTGGTTGGTTATGTGTAGTGACTGCTATAGCTGAACTATTCTCTAGATTTATTATCCTATTCGGGTCAACTAATCTAGATTTTGCTGCTGGGTTTTTATGTTCTATCAGTCTGACTACCGCTGTTCTACTACTTTGACCCATCTATGTATTTGAGCTGACAATCATTCCATCAGAGTATTAGATAAACTAAATTGTTTTGTTTTAAAGGCTCCACAAGATTGATCCTTTAACCGACAAAGCTTGTTTCTAATTGAGTTCTCGTGTGGTTTCGATGCCAGCCACTTATATTCCTGTCTCCCTTGTTTAGAATTCTGCGTAAGTTTACCGAGGTTCCTTCCTTGTATGGAATGATTACTGATGACTTCGATTCCTCATTGTTGGTGTTGTCTTGCGCATGTTTGCAATGCATGTCGTTATCACTATTATTATTATCACTACTGTTATTATTTATTTTATTTTTACATTTCCCTACATACTTTCTGACTAATTTATCATAATAATCATTAATTAAGTTTCAAAGCTTCTCTTATATGCCTCACTTCCTGTCTTAGATTTCCCTTGATACTACTTAGCTTTTGTGCTCTGTCACATAAACATTTCACCAATCCTATTTTTACTGACGTAGGATGGGATGATGGGAAGTCCAAATATCTGTTTGGATGTGTGGGTTTCCTATAAACACTAGTGTGCCTAACTTCCCATCTTCTTTCTTTTTTTCGTTGCAATGTAACACTGGAAGCTTCCCTTCCTGACTTTCCAATTCATAAGTGAATTGAATTGCCTCCACCTTTGAGTTAATGTGTTCGAAAAGTCTATCTACATCTTGTGTTCTTAGTACGGTGAATGTGTCATCTACATACCTCCACGATACTTTGGGGTGGGGGTGAACGCTTTAATTGCTATATTTTTCCACCTATCCATGAATATATCTGCTACAACCCGGGATAGTGGTGATCCCATGGCAACTCCCAGAGTTTGTTTGTATATTTTCCTGTGGAATTTAATTGTTGAGGAAGTCAGGCATAGCTGCACTCCCAGCATTATGGCACTTTCCTCCTAAGTTCGAGATTTTGGCCAGAAATGTGTTCGTTTCTGACTGCCTTCCTTGATAGCCATATTTATTGATATGCGTGTACACATAGTGCCAATGTGAAAACTAACCATTTTATTTCCCATCTATTTAATTTTAAATAATCTAATCTGTGTTTTAGTTCATAAGAGTTAGTCAGTCTAGATTTCAAGTGGCTTTTTAGGGGATTTAATACCATGGCTGAATATTTAGATAATTCATAAGTAGGTGAATTTCTAAAATCAACTGTAGGTTTAATAGGGTATCCTGTCTTATGAACTTTAACAACACCATACATCCTACTGTGGTTATTAGTTTTGGGCATTAAATTAAACCATTTAGATTCACCTAGAAACGCCTTCATTCGGCGTATAAGGTCCACATAACTGTGTCTATTGATTTATTAATTTCCTCATATTGTCCTGTTTATATGTGAATATTCACCTTGTCCAAATAGTCTGAATTGTCTAAATCAAAATCCTCCATGTAAGCCACAGATCTTCCCCGTTTATTTTGAATTTTCAAACACTCATAAATAATTTTACTCTCATAGGACTTATCAGAAAGGTGTACGGTATTGGCAGGGTTACAGTGGTGTACCATCCTTATCCATTAACAAGTCATTTATTTTTTTGATGCTAAATCTATTCTTAAGAGTATGGAATGAGAGTTAGGACTAATCCAGTTTATGAGTGAATAGTTTCCTTCGAAATCATCGTAGACAAGGGTGCTAATTATCACCGATGATATTCCTCCTTCTAGTGGACTGGATTGTGCGTCAGACAGTGGGAAACGAGAAGACAGGGATATCCAGGACCGACCGACGTGAAGAACCTAGGAGACCTGGATTTCGCACGTGGATGATTTGTGTTTGATGTCACACAAAATCGAAGACCGAACACAAGCGAAAACCGACAAACTGGTCGAAGAAGCAGCCGGTGAAGACAGGACTCCAGTTGAACATAGACAAGACGGAGGTTATCAAAATAACCAACCAACAGTAACAATAACAACCGCAGGAGCAACATCCAGCACCAATCACCATCAACAAGAGGAATTTGAAACAGGTTACTTCATTCACTTCACTTATCTAGCATTGAGTATCGTCTCAACTACAGGAAGTCGGAACGCACGAGGATGTCGAATCGAGCGAGAATCGGGAAGGCAAGCGAGAAACATATTCATCAACCTTACTGAAATCAATCTGTAAATCTTCGTCACTCATCCAGCATCACCAACAACATTCTGTTTGATTTTCAAAACAAACACGTCAAGTCAGTTAGTTCTTCTATATGGAACGGGTGAGAAACTTGGCGAGCGTGTCACAAAGAATATTTCCAACAGCCCGTTGCATACAGACCTTTATCAACAACTGTCTTCGCTGGCTCTACACTGAAGAACAAATGGCTTAATCGGAAAGAATCACCACCAACAAGAAACTATGGGAACCATTAGCCAACCAACAATTATGCAAGAGATGGAGTGGAGATGGATTGGACACTCGCTCGCTGAGGCGGCCGCCGCTGGGTGACATCGCCCGCGTGTCAGGCCATTGCTCGAGGGGAGCCAGGCCAAAAGGTAAGCGGCAAGTGGGACGTCAGTGCAAGGGTGACATGGAGGAGATGGTGTGAAGAGAAGTTGAAACAGAATGGACTAACATGGATGGATTCAGGTGAAAACTACAGTAGAAGGAAGACAGAAGCAAGTGGAGAAGTGCAGCTAAAGCTCTATGTTCCACCAGGATTTCAGGGGAACAATAATAATGATTTTGTTACACCATTCATTAGAGAAGTCAAAACTGAATAAGGCTAGATATTTTTGGGGACCACCAATCGACAGTGTGGATTTGTGGACGTGGATGGAGCTTCTCGCAAATGTAAAGCAGTTGTTCAACAACCATTTTAGCTTTACAATTGATTTCTTAGTTGATCGAAATTGCTTCCATATTTAGGGGTTCAACTGTTCCGTTAAATTTCAGAAAGAATAAAATATACTACTTACAAATATTCATCTGGAAGACTAACTCTGAAAAAGTGTTATGCAATGAAACTTTAAACTCTTAGTTGTTTGGTAATATTGATAAACTTAGAAAAAAATAAAAACTGAAATTATCAGCATTACAAAAGCGTTTAAGCTATTTGCAAAATCTCATGTTTCAATTTTAAAGCATCTTAAAGACAACAAATTGCAACTCTACGCATCATCATTACAGAACAAAGCATGGAATGGCAATCAAACCTATACCTCAAGTTTATAGACTTTGAGAAGGCCTTCGTCAGACAGCGTTGACCTCGAAGTAATTTGGAAACCACTCGAGAACTACGGCGTACCCCAAATATTCATCTACCTTAATCAACAGCTGTACGACAACGGCGTCACTTGTCAAGTGATTCACAACGGAAAACCCAGCGAGGCGTTTGAAGTGAACACAGGAGTCAGACAAGGGTGCTTATAATCACCCACCATGATATTTTAATTTAATTTTGATTTACAGTTTGACACCACATTGTATTTTTGGTACGAGTATGGAATTTTCAGCATTGATGTCGGTAGCCCAAATTTTGAAGGCCGACCATAGATATCAGGTGTGCGTCGGCAGGGGATCGAACCTCGGACCATGTGCATGGTTGGCGAGAGTCCCAACCACTGTGCCACCGACGCAGTGGGTGGTCTAGTGATAGAATTCCCAACAACCCTGCATGTTTTCCGGGGTTCGATCCTCTGTCACCGACACACTCCTAAACCTCTCTAAGCTGGTAGAGAGGAAAGGGTTGGGAATGAGGCTAGCAATGGCACTGCTACTACTAAAACCTCAAAGCTTTAGCTTGAAGCCCTCTATGTTCCACTCGGGACGTAGAGGAATACAAATAATAAAATAACACATAGTGAACAGTTGAATTGTGTGTTTCAGAGATTACAGTCAGCTCTGGGATAAAAATATATGTCTGCAAAATTTAATCATGGTACTTACGGTTTTCTAGTCAAGTCACATCTGGAATAGAATACAATTAAGACGCATAAGTGTAGACATGTATATTTACGATGACATAAAATGTAATTCGTTAAGCAATTTTTTTGACTTGAAACGAAACCTATTATATGGTGATGAAGAATCGTAAAATGGATCCCCTTCACCAAATTGATAAATTTAAATTGTCTTATAGATCTTTAACAACCCATTTGATCGGTGTCGATGGTGTTGCGATGAGGAACCAGCCCTCTTGGGCCCCTGTTAGCTGATATATTCATGCCGAAATTGGAAAAACAAATGCAAGGTGTGCTTGGAGAATTTATGCCGTATAAACGCCGTTATGTAGATGATACTCTCATTATTGGTAATATTAGTAAATCTATTGAAAACTATATTACCCTATTTAAACATATTCATCCAAATATCCGAGTGACTTCTGAACTCGAATCGAACAATAAACTCGGTTTCCTAGATATTACAATGAGCAGAAGAGATGATGGAACGATTCAGCGATCCATGTTTCGTAAACAGACATGGAGTGGACAATATCTTCACCAGTTTTGTTCCCACCCAGTATAAACGTTCCCTAGTGAAATGTTTGTTCTCAAGGGCGTGAAAAATATGCATGAGTGACACATTGATGGATGAGTTTTGACATATACATTCAGTTTTATTAGCTAATGGTTATCCAGAAAACTTACTTTATCAATTGTCACATTAAGGATAGACCACAACTAGAAAAGACAGCTTCTGTACCAAAGAAAGCTATCTTCATTAATCTACCATTCACGGGTGACTAGATTATACAGTTGACAGCTAGCTCAAAGACTTCCGTTAGCCATCAAGTGCACACATTCTACGCCGCATCTCTTTTTCTCATTCACCGAACAATTTCCATCCCTGTACTTACGATTAAAAGACGAAATTCTGTGGACTCTACTTCAAACTGTATCTACAAATTCACCTGCAGTTGCAGTGACACCTATATAGGTAGAACTAACAGAATATTCCAACGTCATCGAAAAGAACATGTTATGATTGTTCATTAGTATGTACTTTTGCTTTTTATATAACTGAATAATTGTCATGCACTTTATTTTATTATTGTTAACGATGTTAGTTGTAAAGCAGTTGTAAAGAAACTACGACATGACGATATCATCTCGCGAAATTTGTCTTCTGAATACCTTATTCAAATATATAAAAATCGACAAAAATATATTTTTCATTTACTAAACGGTTCAGTGTGGAAACCGACATGATAAAACGGATTACTCTTCAGTCCACTACTCTGTTACATCAACGTAAGGTATTCGAGGCCTTGAGAATGTCTGCCACCGCCCAACTCAAAAATACTTGATTTATCGGGTAACTCTGATTCAAAACAAGCAATAAAGGTTAATAAAGCAGGATTTAATGATGGATTCATCAAATTTCGGTAGGACTCGTCATGTGGATTCTCTACATACATGGATACATATATACACTTTTGAAATTACATTGGGAGATATACAACTGATAAGCACAAATAAACTACATTGAATTAATCATGCAGAAAGACACTTCCGAATGTTTTCCAGGTCATGTTCAAATAGATAAGTGATGGAAGGGAGTATGGGAGATCAAAATTAAGATAAATTGCATTACGCTTCAATTACACATCACTTAGATAAACAATTAGTCATTAGAGAATATAACAAGAATTGCAAACAGACTAATATCAATAGTAATATTTATAGTAACAATAATAATAATAATAATAATAATAATAATAATGTTGAAGTGAGTTAAGATAATCCTACTGATAAAAGATAGTTTTAAATGAACCAAGAATAATAATAATAAGAGGTAGTATCATAAGTAAAACGTATTGCAATTGTAGATTCACAGTCACGACCATCTCCTTTTGTACACACAAAGACCTGGTTTATAAACTCGAATTGCACAGCACTCTGCAACTGCAAGCATCTTCTTGTTTGTTTGTCTGTCTGCTGACAACAATGAATGACTTGACAGCGTCAATATCATGTCCATAGTCCACAAGACGTTTTGTTATTGAGGATTTTGGCACTTTGCACTCAGCTGTTTTCAACCGTTTTGGCAAATGATCCATCAGCCGAGCAGACAATCGGTTTTTTGTACGACCTATGTATTTGCTTGCGCAAGCACACTCAAATTGATATACGCAGTTTGAAGTGTCGAGGATTGGCGACTGGTCTTTCCCAGATTGTTGAATCACTGGCTTGGTGATGTTAAGTTTTGTAGCATAATAAGTTCTCTTGATAGCTTTATCGAGTCTTTGTTTGACTAATTCTTGCACATTATCTCCTTTGTTCGGCAAATTGATATGGACAGATTTCTTCTGAACTGATTAGATAGATTTGCAAGGGCTCAGTTCTCTGTAGAGTATTTATTAGCAAACTTCTTAGATAAAATATTCTTCAGAGCTTGTATTTCATGCTCCGTTGTACTGTTAGAACAAATTTTGCGTGCTCTACTGAACAGTGTTTTGAATAAGTTTTTTTCTACCAGCATAATATTATTATTGGTTCATTTAAAACTGTCCTTTATCAATAGCATTATGTTAACTCACTTCAACACTTATTATTGTTATTATAACTATTACTATTGAGATTACTCTGTTTGCGATTCTCGTTATATTCTCTAATGACTAATTGTTTATCTAAGTGATGTGTAATTGAAGCGTAATGCAATTTTTTTCAATAATTTAATAATTCCCATTGTAGCATTAAGAACACAATTTTCACCGAAGAGACTCTTTTCAACGAATTTATTATCAAGCTGTACAATCGTATATGTATGGTTTTATAAAGAAATTATATCCGGTGGAGAATTAGGTCAAAGGTGTAAACAATCAGCCATGGGATCACCACTGGGTCCTTTGTTGGCTGATTGTTTTATGGCAAAGCTGAAAAATTCTCACTTTAGTCAAACAATCAGTCATTTTGACATTTATAAAAGATATGTAGACGACTCTTTCGTCATCTGCGATAAGAACGTAGTTCTTGATGATGTCTTGTTCGCCTTCAACAACTGTCATCCTTCTTTACAATTCACCATAGAAAAGAAATCTGAACTAAGTATTCCGTTTCTTGATGTGTGCCTCAGCAGACGTAATGACGGATCTCTCAAAAGATCTATCCGCCTGAAACGTACATGGAACGGACAACTAACTAATTTTTACAGTTGGGTGCCTATTTCCAGGAAAAGGAATTTAATCCATTCACTCTGCTTTAGGATAGGGAAAATTTGTAGTTCTGATTGCGTCGACTCAGAACTTGACTTCCTGAAAGCCACACTCGCAGAAAACGGTTACCCTAACCGATTTATTGACAGAAACATGAAAGATAAGCAGCCTAAACTGGTCACCGACTCAGTTCCAAAGAAAACCTTATTCTTGAACTTGGAATTCAAAGGAGATCAAGCTTCAGATATGCTCAAAAATCGTCTTTCTAAATCAGTTAGTAAGACGTTCCCTGCAGCTAGATTACATATGACGTTCACGAGCCGCAAATTGTTTTCTACCTCTGTAAAAGATAAGCTCTCCCGTCTGACCGCCTCCATGTGCATCTACCAGTTCACCTGCTCTTGTGGAGCAAGGTACATTGGCCGTAGTCAGAGAATGCTCTCCACACGGATACGAGAACATATTCCAGCTTGGTTTTACAAGGGAGAAAGGAAATGTGTGCGAAGCTCTATCTTAGAACACCTCATCGACTCCTGTCACTCGGTCAACCCTGACCATGATTTCAAGGTCATATATAGAATTGATGCTAACTTCCCGCGTTTTCCTCGTTACAGACTTCTAAAGACAGCTGAGGCCTTGACAATTCATGACTTCAAGGCAGACCTGTCTTTGTGTACAAAAGAAGTATGTACAATCCCTACTGCTGCCTTGGCCGTAGAGGGATAGACATTTATTTATTTTATTTATTTAGTTATTCTATGTACTTTTCCCTTATTACTTCGATTATTTTTATTATTATTATCATTATTATTATTACGACTCTCATTCTGAATCTTTTCCACTTGACTTACTTGACATTTTAAACCAAAAATTATTCATTTGTATACTTTTTATCTCTATTTTTACAATATTAAATTCCATGTTATCAAATCTCACACCATGTTATGTAACATTTTATATTCGTCTATTAATCTTACAATTATATTCCTCTCCCCAAAATCTATACACCTGAAGTATTATCTTATATATGACATTAATTATTGTTCCACTTGACTTAAACTATGAATATAATCACAAATATTTTAAATTTATTTCATACTATTATTATTTCATGTATTTACACCTTTGACCTATTTCCCTCACCGGATATAATTTCTTTATAAAACCATATATATACGATTGTACAGCTTGATAATAAATTCGTTGAAAAGAGTCTCTTTGGTGAAAATTGTGTTCGTAATGCAATTTATCTTAATTTTGATCTCTCATACTCTCTCTCCCCTTATCTATTTGAACATGAACTGGAAAACATTCGGAAGTATCTTTCTGTATGACTAATTCAATGTAGTTTATTTGTCCTTATCAGTTTTATATCTCCCAATGTAACTTCAAAAGTATATATATATAATTTTTTATTTTTGATTACAGCTTGATTCCACATTGTATCTTTGGTACAAGTGTGGAATTTTCAGCATGGATATCGGTAGCCTTAATTTTGCAGGCCGACCATAGATATCAGGTGTGCGTTGGCAGGGGATCGAACCTCAGACCATGTGCAAGAGCTCTAACCACTGTGCCACCGACGCATGTATATATGTATATATTTATATATATTATATATAATTATATTTATATATTTATTTATATATTTATCACGGAAAATACCCATTGAGTCATGAAGAAAATAAAAGACGGATTCAGCGAAGAAAATTTTCTTTATCGACGAAATCATCTTCAGAGGCTGTACAGTCGTATTTATACTTAGAAGAATGTATGGTGGTCTATTATTGAATAATGGGGGGTCACCACTGGGTCCTTTACTTGCAGATTGCTTCTTGGCCAGTCTGGAGAATAGTATTTTATGGCCTACTATCGACAGTTTCCATCTGTACCTAAGATACATGGATGATACCTTCATCATATGTGACGACAATACTGACGTCGAATTGATAACTAATGAGTTCAACAGCTGCCATCATGCCATCAAATTCACGTCGGAATCAGAGATTAACTCGGAATTCCACTTTTTGGATGTTTTTCTAAAGAGGAGATCTGATGGCTCTCTTCAAAGATCGATCTACAGGAAACCAACATGGAATGGTCAGTACACAAATTTCCATAGCTGGGTCCCTTTAAGAAGAAAGAGAAATTTGATCCATTCCCTATCCTCAAGAATAAGGAGGATATGTTCAAGTGATACAATCGATGGGGAATTGGAGCGACTCAGACAAGTTCTCTTAGAGAATGGATATCCTCCAAGATTCATCGAGAAAAACATGAAGCTAAGAGAAAAGCCCGAAAGAATTCAGACTGTGCCGAAGAAACCGCTCTTTATGAGCGTTGAATTTAAAGGTGATACTGCAGCTGAGATCCTGAAGAATCGCTTACGCAGATCACTGAGGAAAGCCTTCTTTATGGCTGAGCTACGTATCAATTTCTACAGCCGACGAATGATCAACGGATGTGTAAAGGATAAGCTGCCGCTTTGGGCCACCTCAATGTGTGTTTATAAATTCACATGCTCGTGTGGAGCAAGTTATATTGGCCGCACAAAGCGCACGCTTTCCAAACGCATCTCTGAACATTATCCGGCATGGTTAGCAAAGGGACAATGCAAGACAATTACTAGCTCAATTCTCGAGCATTTGGTGAACTCAGGCCACGTAGCTCCACCAGAGTCGTCTTTCAACATCATCTACAAAGTGAAGCCAAATTGTACAAAAGGCGTCAGGTTCCGGCTTTTGTGTATGGCGGAGGCGCTGGCAATACATCAATACAACCCTGATCTCTGTATACAGAAAAAGTTTGTCCAGTCTCTTATTCTACCTTGGTCTTAACCTCTTCACTTATCCTTCCCTGTTAAAAAATATTTTTGATTTTGTTCTTAATCTTTAATTTTACTTTTAGTTTGCTTTTGCTTTAATAATTAATTCACTATTATCAATTTCATATATTTTCACACCTTCTTCACACTTGTTAAATTGACACCCTAATAACTTTATTCTCACTCAAGAGCAATTTTAACCTTTTCTAACTTCTATCTTTGTTCCGTCAAGTACCATGTAATTTACAACTTTTAATTTTCACCTCTAAAGCCACTTATGATTAATTACAGCAATTATGTCACCCCCTATTATTCAATAATAGACCACCATACATTCTTCTAAGTATAAATACGACTGTACAGCCTCTGAAGATGATTTCGTCGATAAAGAAAATTTTCTTCGCTGAATCCGTCTTTTATTATATATTTATATTTCCCCGTTTGTAAAGAATTCAGCTGACGAGTCCTACCAAAGATTTGGTGAATTCATCATTAAATCCTGCTTTATTATCCTTTAATGCTTGTTTTAAATTCGTTTCAAGAAATAAAGGTTTTCAACTGTGATTCGGATAAATTGATAAGATATTTGTTAGGGATGACATGACAATTCACAAAGACGTTATTACACCAATAAAATCATATTTACACCCAATCATCTGTCGCAGCTCATATTGAAAAGATCTTGGAGACGATAACACTTACTGTGATGTACCACTTAAATAAGAAAAGCAATTTATTGAAGATGTAATTTATGTAAACTAAATTTATTCTTATACAATAAACGCCTTGTGAAGAATCACTTTTAAAGATTACATACATGCTGTGAAATAATCGTAAACTGATGAGCTCCCGTAAAGATTTAAGATCATATTCAAACTGGAACGAAAAATCGAAGAAGAAAAACACAACAACAAGACATTCACATACCCATCGCTTCCAATATTGTACCTAGAAATTGTTTTTAAACCAATAAGATATGAGTGCATATCAATATGATCTGAAAGAATTTGACTCGTTTAGCCTTTATCTTAATTTATCATTGAGAGACTGAATTGAGTTAAAAGAAAGGAGATATGAGAAGATTAAACGCCATTTGTTCTTTTCCCAGCAATAACATGTGGTACATGCACTGGCGAATTCACCAAAATGTGTGCAGGCCCTAATGTACACATACCCAGTCACCAGTGTCATTAACTAGAAGCATTAAACGAAGTTGAATTAAACTGATAGAAAACATCGGCATCATTTTATGAGATTTTAAGACTTTTGAAAAAAGGTTGGCTAGCTTAGTTCCTCTGGATACCAGAAATCATTGACTGAAGACTTTTAAGTGTGCGACTGCCCGATGTATGTCGCATCACATTCTGAGCAAGCATTTTATTTTATAGACACGACTAGATAGAGAATCTTAAGGGGATTTGGTCTTTTATATAAACAAGATTGCTTTGTAGTGAGTGTGTGTGTGTCTGATGTTTCGAAGAAGACTCTGATGTCGAGCTTATTGAGTACTCTTCTGAATTCTATCGTCTGACATTTCTGATCTATATGGAATGACAGCTGTTAAGGAGGTCCCTGTCTTTGAAATACATGTTCGACCATACTTAAAATCAGTGTTCATTTTGTTGGTGAAGTTCTTTGTATAGTTATTTTGCTTGAGGAGAGTTTCAGTAATGTTTGATATTTCTCTTTCTTCTTTTTCTTGCTCATCCGTTAACATCAGCGAGTGTGCTTGAAACACCTGATTCCTTTCCGGTGACGGGGTGTGATGATCTGAAATCTAAATATTTGTTGTTGGAGTGGGTTTTCTTCCTGAATATGGATATACTAAACTGTCCGTTTTCCCTTCTCTTAACTAGGCAGATAGTCTGTAAATGGCAGTTCGCCGACGTCAAATTCTGCTTCCGAAGTAAAATGGATTCTGGGAGATAGATTGTTTATTTTCTGTAAGAATGAACTGTGTAGAGCTCGTTTGTACACTACAAAAGTATCATCTACATAGCTCAACCATATTTTATTCGTGAGTATGCTTGAAAAGGTGTTATCTTTGAATCTATTCATGAAAAAATCGGCGACTATTGGGGAAACTGGTGAACCCATAGCAACACCATTTGTCTGTATATATTGATCCCCTTTGAATGTAAAACAGTTACTTCCTGGACAGAATTTCAAGCTCTTAATTATTTCACTGGTGTCCAGTGGACATCTTTGTGATAGTGTTGTATCTGACTGTACTAGACTGGAAAAGATATCAAGACGTTATACCTAATTTTGTGTATAAAATAAGATGCTTCCATGGAATGTGATGCGATATACATCGGACAACACATCTGGAGAAATCAATTGAAATGAGAAGAAATAAACACCGTAGAGCAGCATCTGTTTGACCACCGAGAAGTTCAGATGAGAACAAGAAAGCCTTGAATAACCATCAGTCAGCCATAAGTCGCTTCACATAAAAATGATGTTGACAATATTGAAATCATCATTCAGAAGAAGCATTTCAGAAATCACAAAGAACGTCTCACATAATCAGAAGTAGTTCATATCAAATCGATTCGAAATTGTCTGAGCTGAATAGGAATGATGAACTAAAACAGAATTTGACCAAGTTATGACGTCATCCCCGTCTCCCGTCATGGAGTGATCAAATCAACACGAATGGTGATAAGCCATTTCGTTATGTAAACACACGCTCTGCTTTTATAATTTTATACACTTATCAAATCCAACAATCTCCACCTGGTTTTGTTATCTTTACCAACTGGGAAACTTGACAACGCAAAAATTATCCCTTTCTGATGAACAAAGATTAGGTTGTTCTATATAAGCTGAGTGGATTTTGTGAATTCTGGTTTAATATCGCTGTTTTGATAAAGCTATTAGCAGCAGCATTAATGAATAGCGAAACGTCAGTAGAAACAACAACAATATCGTTTTACACTTTTTCATTCATTTATTGGGAAATACAAAAAGAAGCCTTTATTATAATGAATACCACATATACCCAGTGCCCTAATTTTTCAAACTGTTAAAAGTGAACTTGGTTTGGAGATGTATATAACTTTTACTTCCTTGTCACTTCTGGTGTCACAGTAAAACGGTTCTCCTTCACTCTTTCTACACTGATTCCCAGTATAATTAACATAAATTGAGGGACTTTTGTGAAAAGTCTCAGTTCAGTGTATCTATTAGCCAGTGATCCGAGTATTGGAGAGGTATTTCAAATCAGATGCGAAAGCGTGATGTAAGCAGCGCATAGTTGAGGATTTCACATACATTAGCTGATTATTTATCAAAACAGTAGCCACTTTGAGAATGATTCTAAATTTTAGAAGGTTATCAAGCAATGAAAATGACCCATACCCTTTCATTCCCTAAGCTGAAGCGGTGAATTCTGTTAAATATTTCAAACTCACATGGTTTCAATATAACATAGCCTGTGTGCAAAGTAAAAAGCATTGCATAGTGTTTGAAATGTTTACCCTGAGTCTCCTTTCTTTTTGTTCAAAATAACCTGAAAAGTGTGCACGATGTCAAAACATTTTCTTCAAACAAAACACTGACTAGACAGATTGATATATGTGACTAAGGATTATTCATTTTGTGATGCCAGTCATATGAGAAGCGCCGGCTGGAATGCTATTCACGCCCAATCACTCATTCGATTGTTGCATTGCTTAAGAGTCTCAAATAAGAGAGAGAGAGAGTCCCTTAACTGTCATTGGTTCCATCCCTGACACTATTTGGATATGAATTGAATTTATTTCTTTGAACATTTCAAATTCAAACTTTAGGCCGATTGGAGTTCCTTATGCACTACTCTCTAGGACATAATGGAATACGCGGAATCCTAACCTCTTTCTCTCAATTAATTCAGAACTTAAATATCCCACCACTCAGAATTTCTTATAAGTTTGTTCTTCGAAAGTAAATTCATTCTATTGTTCTATATTGATCTTCACCACCTAAAATCATCGCTATTGTGACAAACCTTCGTCTCAAAAATTGCCTAAATCAATAAATTCGTATTTGCAATAGAAAACTTACAGCATTCTGCATTTCCTGGCACTGTAAATATTAAAAAAAAACATTGAAGAAGGGAAAAATGAAAGAAAAGATTACTCAACGCTTTTGTTGAGTGTGACGTGAAATAGTAACTCAATCGATGATGAAACTATTCAGAATAGTTTCGAGTAAGCAAAGTATTCATATAAGGGTTGCATGAAATTGTCGGGATGACTGTAAGACTGCTACCACTGACCTTGAGATTGTGAGCCCGGTGATCTACTCGCTAAGTTGTCATCTATTGGTCTGTTAGCCCGCGCATTTATTTATGTGAATGAATTACATTTTTGTGCGCAAATTGCGTCGATGATAATTCTTCATCCAAGTGACTCAGTATACAGTGAACTTAAAACTAAGCAAACTGTATATTTCTCCATGTTAAGGTGAAAAGATGAAGATACCAAATGGTTGTTAAATTCAGACAGAGAAGTATTTACTATTGTAACTATTCATTTCTTGTGCCTTGTGTAGAAAGTAGGGCTATCCCAACATCAGATGATTCATTTTCTTTGTTCATGATCCTGAGCAAACCGACCATTATCTATTATTGATTGCTTTCACTCCGGGAGAAAAATATGGTTTTCTTTGGCGTATCTTCATTCCGTTCGGCTCCCTGCATTCACTTTAAATTGCCTTCATAGCTGGCAATAAGGTTTCACTTCCTGCTCAGATAATCTAATACATATCAGTCTTAGAATCTCAACTTGTCACTTCCGATGTGAGTTCCACTCAAAGACCAGGTGAATGATGTCATTCAGGTGTCTTATCATCAACGTACTTCCAGTACACCTCAGTTAACTTCCGTTGTCTGGGTTCCTTTCTGGCCATTCAACGTTTAGTGCCAAGAGAAGACAGGTGTTGATGAAGGTCTGCAATCTGTTGAGGTTGATTTTATTGACACATGCCTAGCAAAGTCCCAAAAACATATACTGGAAATGACTTTACACTAGTGTTAAAAAACTAGGATCTCATTCTTTTAAGCTGAACACAGTAAATTTTCACAATATTTTCAGATTAATGAAGGCCTATCTTGCTTTTTCAATCCTCATATGTGCCACATTTAGTTGAATAGATGATGCTGTGATATGTGAAAGAGGCGACTTGCTTGGAATTCTTTGCCATTGATCGTGAAAGGTGTTTCTGGTTATCGATAGTCAGATATCTTCATCACTTCTGTCTTCTATGTACTCACCTGAAATCCGGCATACTTTACCTAATACTGTCTGGTGCAATGCATATATCCCTGAATATTTCTTCGCGTTTTTAAACACTGACACCAATCACCGAATCGTCAAACACCTCAAAGTCTGCTGCGAGAATTCCCCGTAGTCATTCATTCCCCCAAGCGACTGTAGACTCATGATGTGTTTTTTCGGTGTGTTGAATCTGATTTATCTATATCACTGTGCATAGCACTGGACAATTGTAGTTCTTTTTCGTTTCAGTTGAATGCCGTTGTCATAGTCCTGGAGAAGAATACTTCCCAATGCACATAAGCCCTCGACGCTGTTAATGACGTCATGATAACTACGCGTTCAGTGTGCTCTTATTTGTTGTCGGAATGATCGGAATGTTCTAACAACTCTTAGAATAAAGATTGCGTACTGTCATCATCGACCTCTAACAATTCTCTACCATATCTGCTTATTTCTTATACTCTCTGAGCAGTCCTGATGGTCTCAGACACAGTTGAGACATTCCATGTCTCCATCGTTACTTTTCACTTTCTTCGGAAGGAAACAAGTCAGCCGAGAGGATCCCTGAATGATTTCGCCCTTCATCATTATTTGCCCACGAAATGAAGTGTCTTCTCAACTCTAGCGGAAAATGATTTTCGTCGCTTTGAAGTTTCAGTAGCCATCCAAGAGTTTCCCACTGTAAAGACTCAGGCTGTAAAGCTTACACAAAATATTCCCTCTTTCATGGGATTAGAACTGCCTAGTAAACTAATCAACGTTCAGATAGGGAAGAAAGAACATGTTAGAGTTATGTGATGCATTAACACTTTAATAAAACTCATGAAAAATTCCCACTGTAACATATAGAAATTCAAAACAAGTGATTCAGCGAAGAGACCTCGTTTCAAGGAATTTATCATCAGGCGGATATGTGGCCCTGATACTGTGGAAGATGAGTTATACCTTTTGAGGAAAATCCCAGTAAAAAATGGATTTCCACTACGTTAATAGATAAGAATATACATTCCAATCCTATAGAACGTGACTTATCAACCTTACCCAAGAAAATACTTTACATGAGCTTGGAATTCAAATGGGACTTAGCTTCCGATATCATGAAACGAAGGATATCACAGTATCTGAAAAGAACATTCCTCGCTACATCTTTGAGAATGGTCTTTACTAGTAGACCATTACTGTTCAATAACCTGGAGGACAAGATCCCACTGTTGACCGACTATATGTGCGTTTATCAATTCACCCGCTCATGTGGAGCTAGGTATATAGAACATTCGACTCGAGTTTCGTACAACAGGGTGCAAGAACACTATCCTGCATGGTTTCGAAGGGGTGGAATTACGACAGTAAGCAGCATGATCATTGAACATCTTGTCGATAATGATCACCCTATCTCTATAGCCTCCACCTCATCTACAAGGCAAAGAGTAATTTACCCAAATCCCTACGTACCCAACTCATCTGTATTGCTGAAGCCTTGGCTATCGAAGTAGAAAAGCCAGGTCTCTGTGTAAAGAGAAAGTTTGTTCAACCCCTCCAACTTTCATGGTCTTAATCCCTCTATGCTAAAGTATGGCAATTCCTAATCATATTTTAGCTCTACCAATTTGTATACTCTTCCTTATTACGTCAGTTGTTACTATTATTATTATTTTCACTTTGAACTGTCCCCGGTATTATTTTACTTGTTCCACTTGTCTTTCTAAATCAATTCTTCTATTTTACAACGTTTAATTCTATGCTAACAAATTTCACACAATATTATGCAATGTATTTATTTTATTCGATTTGTCTACTAATCCAGTAATAATTGCACACCCTTTTCAAGTTCTATCCATCCTATGATTTATTCTATATATGACATTAATTTGCTTTGCCACTTGACATTTAACTATGAGTATAATCACAAACATTTTGGTTTTAATTGAACTTCATACTATTATTATTATTTTATCCACGCACACCTATGATCATTTCCCTCACCGGAGATAACTTCTTAAAAACCATATGCCTATATACGATTGTACAGCTTGATGATAAATTCGTTGTTGAAAAGAGTCTCTTCGATGAATCATCACTTGTTTTGATTTACTTTAATAAAAACCCCAAATTAATAATAATAATAAACGGACGAATCACAAGTGTACTTCGTAAACGAAAATAACATTCTTACAGGTTTGTCATGTTTGTCACACTAAATAAAATACAATGTAATTTCGAAAACAATCAGTGTTAATACATATAAATAATAACACATTGCCTAAATAACCTGATGACAAGACACCACATCCAACAGGTAAGTAAATTCACACTGCCTGGTTGAAGTCATCATTTTACCTTTGTTAAGATTCTAAAGAAATAGGCTGTCAAACCTCTGTACATCCCTATTGAGCAGGACACCACAATCTTGTCAGTCTTCATGATTCAATGAAATGTATTTCGCTCACTATTTCTCGTTTGTTTCTCGTTTTAAAAATAATGCATGATAGCGATGAGTATGATGGAACTTGAGCGGTATTTCTTCATTGAGACAGTGTAATATTCGTTCCTTAAACTGAATAATTTAGTCGCCAAGAGCTTACTGTCATCTTGGTCAACAATCGTAGCTCAAAAGTTTAAAAAGAGGCGGCCTTTTTGAAGTTTTAAACACTTCGGATGACTGTTGCAGTATATTTTGGTGATATCGTCTGCAAAACGTATTCTAAATGACTCTACTCCGGACCTGGTTGAAATTTTCTATTTCAACTTATTTTCGACTGATCCAAGTGTGGATAGTTGTCGTAATTCCTGACTGTTAATTTATCCTCGTAAAACAGAAAACCTGATTGATTAAATTTTTAATATTAGTTTGTTTATTAGATATGTCACACACACAATGTGAAACAGTATTATTATTTATTGGATTACATAGTTTCGAACACAGTTTATCACTGTTCATAATCATAACAGTCAATTGTAATCACACAACTTCGAAACTTGACTTTTATAGTTTTCTTTGTTCTCACCTATTCGTCGTCGCTGGGGTGGTAGAATTTTCCAGTTGATTAGATAAACAAAGCTTCTGTCATCAATCTCTCCCTATACCCTGTGACATTAGATTTTAAAACTGTCATCCCAATCTAGATTTCTTTGCTAGGTTTTTATGCTCGGCTAGTCTGACTGACTGCCCCTGTTCTACTAGTTTGACCTATGCATTTTACCTGACAAGCATTGCAGGCTGGTCTGTTAGTTAAAATAAACTGTTTTGTTTAATTGGCTCCACTGTCAAGATCCTCTAACCAACAAGGCTTGTTTCTAATTTAGTTTGTGGGTGGCTTGAATGCCAGCCACTTTTGTTCCTGCTTTGTTTAGAATTCTCAGTCGTATGGTGGTTTCCGAGGTCCCTTCTCTGTATGGAAGTTCTACTGATGATTTAGATTCCTTATTGCTGATGTTGTCATTATCCTGTGCATGTTTGATATGTTTGTCGTCATTAGTATTATTAGTATCACTATTACTATTATTATTTATTTTATTTTTACATTTCCCTATATACTTTCTGACTAATTTATCAGGGTAATTATTAAGTTTCAAAGCTTCTCTTATATGCCTTACTTCCTATCTTAGTGCATTTATTCCCCGTGATGAATTTGAATAAAGCAGTCTCAGTCTTCTGTTGACCATTTCTGCAATGTTTTCACCTTTAAAATCTGGTTGAATGAAGACAGGCTTTTCTTCAACTGTGATTTGTGTAGTATTTGAGCCTTCACATCTTCCATATTGGTTAATGAATCTTTGAGGATAACCGTTGTGTTTCAGCACCTTTTCGAGATTCGTAAATTCTTCCTCTAGTTTCTCTGCAGAGCATATTCTCCTCGCTGTATAGTACAGAGTCTTGACTAGTGCTTGTTTATAGCAATTTGGACAAAAACCATTAAAATGTAAGTATTGTCCATTCCATGTGGGCTTTCGGTAGATTGACCTCTGGAGACTACTATCTTGTAGGCGTTGAATGGCGACGTCAAGGAAATGGAACTTTCCATCATTTTCATGTTTCAAAGTAAATACAATATTGTATGTGCGTTGTCGAATAGTCTGAGTAGGTAGGAGGCATGACTTTCGTTGTCGCACACTACAAATGTGTCATCAACATATCGACAATAGGAAGTTGTTTGATCAATTGCATGCTTCAGCTTTGTTTTCTCAAGGTTTCACATAAAGATATCTGCTAAAACAGGGCTAAGTGGACTGCCCATAGCTACACCATCTATTTGGCGGTAAAGACTGTTGTCAAACTGGAATTGTGCACACATAGTACACATTAGCAGTAGGCGTTTGAATTCTGACTGTGGTAGTGGGAGAAGATCAGACTGTTAACAAATGATCTCAATGGTTTCATTGATTGGGATCATTGTGAACAAGGAGGTTGCATCAAATGAAGCCATCAACTTATTTGAAACGTTCATGTGATTCACGCTTTCGGCAAAATGAAATGAGTCTTTTATGGTATGTGTGGCTAGCCTTTGACGAATGGGTTCCAACCTCTCCGCAAGCCAACGGGCAACCTTATGTTGGGAAGAGTTGCTCATCGAAAGTAATCGGCACAAGCCACTGTTGTTCTCTCGCTTTATTCAAATTCCTATGTTAGATTTCCCTTGATACTACTTAGTTTTTGTGCTCTATATTACTCAAACATTTCACCAATCCTATTTTCACTGATTAGTGACAGAAGCTTTATTCATCATTGAATCAACTGAGCGGGAATACGTCTAATAGGAGTGGTTCAACACCTGTCCACCTACCCAAATATCTAGAAAATTCTACCACCACGTCTACGACAAATAGGAAGGAATAAAGGAAAACCATTAGAACTCAAGTTTCGAAGTTGTGTGATTATAACGGATGCGTGCGATTATGAACAGCAATAAATTGTGTCCCAGTAAATAATACTGTTTCACACAGTGTGTGTGTGATATATCTAATAAACAAACTAATATGGAATAACTTACTACCACACTGCTCAAGCTTTATAGATCTATTGATTACATTTTTGCTCATAGCGGTATCTATTCAATTTCTCACACAGAGTGTTTTGTTAACTATATTGAGTTTTGCCGTAAAATTCTCACTGCACTCAACGTCCAGCTGTTTTTTATAGATAATTCATCATATACTTTCGATAATGGAATACAAAGCATTACTGTATGCTTCATAGTGAAGAAGTAATTTTCCAGTTCAAGGAGAAATAAAATGCTTGAATTTGTTTATGACTTACGCGACTGGGATATAATCGTTTCTAAATATTATGAGAATAAAGAATGATTGTAAAGATAAATTTTTCCGAAAATTTTTAATGTTTTTTTCGTAGTTTTCAAGTGTTATTTAGCAGCGGTTTGGTTGGTTTTCAGTGTGATCACGGATTGATATTAGTTAGGGGATTATTATTATTTTAGTTAAAAATCGGTTGAAATAAGCTAGTTAAAGTTGGGTGAAATCGCTGTTCAAATTGCTGATTTTCGGTGAATTCATTTTTAGCAACTACTTGTGTAAATTAAAACAAATTAGTCCATCTTTGATAAATTTGAATAAGGAAGGCATTTAGATGATGATGATGATAACATCGTCATTTCGCAGTTTCTCTACAATCAGCCGCTTTACAACTACCATGGTTCCCCACAATAATAGAATATAATAAAGTGCATGAGAATTGCTCAGTTATATATATGAAACAAAAGTATATACTGATGACCAATCATATTTAAAGATGTCAGCTATACTCGCCATGGTAGGCAACATTAACTGAAGTCTATTGTGTTCTCTTTGTTCACACACAGTTTAGGCTGTATGTGACTAATCCCCAAAGTGCTTTCTTCATCACCTTTTGATAACCGACCTTGAATTCGAGTTATTTGATGAAATATTTGTGAAACAGTCATTAATATTGACTGATTTTGTGACCTGACATTAATACGTGTTTTGCAATGGATGATGATGCTGGATTTCTATTCAGATTAATTGCGTTGGGATTTTCTGTATGATTAAGTAGCCATTTTGGAACATGTTCTTCTCGACGACATTAGAACATTCTATTGGTTCTACCAATATAGGTGTCACCGCAACTGCAGGTGAACTTGACACCAACAGAATGTTTCAATGTGGTTGTCGAAAAGAACCAAAATGGCTATTAAATCATATCGAAAATCCCAACGCAATTAATCTGAATAGAAATCCAGCATCATCATCCATTGCAAAACACTTATTAATGTCAGATCACAAAATCAGTCAATAGTAATGACTATTTCACAAATATTTCATCAAATAACTCGAATTCAAGGTCGGTTATCAAAAGGTGATGAAGAAAGCACTTTGGGGATTAGTCACATACAGCCTAAACTGTCTGTGTACAGAGAGAACACAATAGACTTCAATCTTCGACTACCATGAACTGACTACTTGACCTATTAAAATGTGATGATTGGTCATTAGTATGTACTTCTATTTTTTTTTATATAACTGAGTAATTGTTATGCACCTTATTTTATTCTGTTATTGTTAATCATGTTAGTTGTAAGGCGGTTGTAAAGAAACTACGAAATGACGATGTTATCACCTCGTGAAATTCATCTTCTTAATGCCTTATTCAAACTACTTGTGGGCTCTTTCAAAGGTGTGAATTTCAATGACTTTATTCCTGGCAATGATTGAGTGACAAGTGGAAAACCAGGAACCACATTCATGAGATATTTTAAAACCCTTCAGGCATAATATAATACTTTTGTAAATATTACTTTGGAGTTAAATGTAAATGAAGGTATATGGTAAAAAAAACGTATTCACGTAAAAATTCTGCAACATGAGGGAAGATTCCTGAATATTGAACTAACACGAGTGCATGATAAACGGTGCAAATAAGATACCCCTAATTATATGCATCTGTAAAGTATGTGGAGATCAGTAAACGAATGGTTAGGTGTTGATATACTGAACAGATGTTTCGTTGGTTAGTTAGCACATCCACAGTTTGCTTTACTTCACTTTATCGCTCGATAAGTCTATGTATAATTAGATTTCAGGTTTATATGATTACAACCTCACCTAGATTACTAGCTCGATAGTTTTCTAGCAGGACGTGGGTCCGGATAAAGATGGAGAGTTGGGGCGTGGTGCTAGCAACTACAACCCCCCCAAAACTCAACCAAATGGCTACAGAAACTTCAACACACAGATATATTTAAAATTCTAAAAATATAAACAATAACCTTATTTTTTGACTGGAATCGGGGAAGTGAAATGACGCAGACCGGTGAAAGCCTTCGGGAAGCCAGTCAGTCAATGTGCCTTCTTTCGATGAAAGCAAAAATAAGGGTGGGGACGTGGAACATTCGTACAATGTACGGCTGCCCAGGTAGCCGCTGAAAGAAGATATAGAATAGAAGTGTTGGGAATCTGCGAGAGCAGATGGAATGGAATTGGAAGGTGCCAACTACCAACGGGAGAGATAATAGTCGATTCCGGTCACCCAGAGGACAATCGCGAGCATACCGAGCGAGTGGCCATCATGATGTCAACAACAACACTCAAAGCTCTCAGCCAAGTTCAACTCAAAAGGAAGGAAAGTTACAGTCATTCAATGCTATGCGCCTACAAACGTCTCAAAACAAGAGAGGAAGGAGGATTTCTGCAAACAACTACAAATAGTAATGGACAACGTCCCAAATAGCGATATGAAAATCCTGACGGGTGATATGAATGCGAAACTGGGAGAAGACAACACAGAAAGAGAATTCACAGTGGGAAACGGGAAGACAGGAATATCCTGGACCGACGTGAAGAACCTAGGAGACCCGGATTTCGCACGTGGATGATTTATATTTGAAGTCACACAAAATCGAAGACCGAACACAAGCGAAAACCGACAAACCGGTCGAAGAAGCAGCCGGTGAAGACAGGACTCCAGGTGAACATAGACAAGATGGAGGTTATGCAAATAACCAAACAACCAACAACAACAACAGCAGCAGAAACGTCCAGCGCCAATCACCATCAACGGGAGGAATTTGAAAGGGGTGACTTCATTCACCTTTATCTAGGGAGCATTGTCTCAACTACAAGCAGTCAGAACGGACGAGGATGTAAAATCGAGTGAGAATCCGGAAGGTGAGCGAGAAACAAATTCATCAACCTGACTGAAATCAATCTGGAAATCTTCGTCACTCAGCCAGCATCAACAACAAAATTCTGTTTGATTTTCAATATAAACGTCAAGTCAGTCAGTTCTTCTATACGGAACGGATGAGAAACTTGGCGGGCGGCTCACAAAGAATATTTCCAACCAACAGCCTGTTGCAGACTTTCATCAAAAAACAACTGTCTTTGCTGACTCTATACTGAAGATCAGATGGCGGGGCCGGAAAGAATCGTTAACAAGAAACTATGGGAACAAAGAAAACGAGGACTAATCGCCAACCAACAAATATGCAGGAGAAAGTGGCGATGGATTGGAAACTCGCTGAGGTGGCGGCCGCTGGGTGACATCTCGCGCGCGTCAGGCTATTGCTAGAGTGGAACCATGCCGAAAGGGAAGCGGCGGGTATGTCGTCAGAGCAAGGGTGACATGGAGGAGATCGTGTGTAGAGGAGTTGAAACAATATGGACTGTCATGGACGCGGGTGAAAAGTACAGCAGAAGAGAGAAGCAAGTGGAGACGTGAAGTTGAAGCCCAATGTTCCACTAGGAACTCAAGGGAACAATAACAATAATTATTATGATTACAGCCAACTGACAGATTAGTAATTATACATAACTTTCTGAAGAAGAGGGTTGCCTACTACAACCGATGATATTCCTATTTGTGGTGGAATGGATTATGTGGAACATTCCACCTGGGGAGTGAGAAGACGGGAATACTTTAGGCCCAAAAGAAGACTCTAGAAAGTCCATATATCAAGCTTGGATGACTTATGTTTAATGTCAAACAAGCTCGAAGACACAAGCGAAAACTAACAAGTTGGCAGAATAAAGAGCGAAGATGAAACTTTAGGTGAACACAGATAAGACGAAGGTGATGCATATAACCAACCAACCAACCAACAACATCAATAAGCAGTACCAGTCGTAGAAATTTAAAAGACGTCACTTCCTTCATTAGAAAGCATCTCAGAGGCAAGCTGAAAAAAGGTCATTGGGTGATAATCACGGGAAATGCAAGCCCTTGAATTGGCTCCGAATAGGAAATAACGAACGCGGTATCGAAGGGTGACATGGAGGAGACTATGTGGGTAGGCGGTGACAGGTTATGGGTTAGCTAAAGAGGACTGTAGAAAATGGGACAAAATGACGATATGCTGTTGAAGCCCTATGTTGCACTTGAAACCCAAGGAAACAATAATAATAATAGTACTGAAGAAGACAACATGTTATAATGGAAAATGAACTTACAGCTTTTTTAGTTCGACTAATTCAGATTCATAGTAGCCTACATATTTGATAGCAATGATAGGAAAGGATGAATTTTGACGCATTTAATTATAAAGGAAATACCACGTTGTATTACGTGGAGAATATTTATCGGGACATTAAGTTAGAGGGAAAAGAACAGGAAGTTTAGCAAAGATGGCGGTCTTTTCGGCGATTTCATTCTCAAAAGTGGCTGTACAGTCACATATATACACATCATGAAAAATACCCATTTATTCATAAGTAAAAACACAGTTTTTTGTTCAGAGAAGAAATATATATGAATATATATATATATATATGTCAGTTTACATGGATACAATTGTTATTATAAATTATTTAAATTAAACAACAATAACTCTAGGATTATAAGTTTCCAGACCGTAGGTGTTACGAACTTCCTGGAATAATTTGAGCGCCGAGTCAAGTTGATTCATTATAAATTATTTAAATTAATCCCAGCGTGTTAAGAAAATCAAAACAAGATTTTTCTGCACGTTTCGCCGTGTAAGCCACAGCTTCCTCAGGAGATTTCTTCGGGTTTTTATTTATCATCAAAATATATAGTCAACAATTTTTACATAAATTGAGGTCAGTTTATTTAAAGGTCATTTGTCCATGGACATTTTTACCAATAGAAATAAGTAAGCAGTCATCAATCATATATTTGTAATGACTAATGTCAAATTGTTGTTGTACTCACTCTTCTATAGTTGATTTGTGAAGATTAGTTTTGTATGCGTGTGTGCGTGTATGTGTGTTATTTGCCATATGGAAAAGACGTCAGTTCACATGTGATAAACATGATAATGCATTTTTGTCAAAGGTCATGGAGGCTCATAGAATGTTTGTTGTTTTTTCATCTGTCTTGCTTCATAAGAGTTTGCCATATAGGTGGTGATAAGTCTATCCCTTCTCTCCTTCCTATTTACTGCATTCGATGTGGTTAAAATGTGGGAAGATTCAGAGGTCAATCTTTCTTTATGTGTTGAATGAAATCCTCTTCCAAGAATTTCGACATTGTCGAAATCAATCTTATGTCCGCTGTCTATCGCATGCATTGCTATAGCCGATCTTTTTTCTAGACTTTTTAATTCAACTTCATTTCTAGGTGGACGTTTCCTCCATAGTCTATGCTTATTCACTCTGACCTTCACCTGTCTACTGCTCTCGCCTATATAGTATGCATCACATTCTGAACACTTTATCTTGTAGACACAATTACTTTGTGACATTTTAGGAACCATATCTATAACATTCACTAATGCTTTCTCTAGAGAATTAGAAGGTTTGACATAGACTTTAATATTATATGAAGCAAATAGTCTTTGAAGTTGTTCAACTGTGTCCTTTCGATACGGAATAGCTATTGTCGATAGGCAGGATTTTTCAATTTTTTGTTTTCCTTTCTATTGATGATATTATCTCGTAGCTTTTCAGGATAACCGTTTCCAATCAGAATTTGTTTTATATCTTGTTCTCCATACTGTCATTATCTGTTTCTAGCTCTGTTCTAACGAGACTTAAAACTACTGAAACTTTCATTCCTATTGAATGATCTGAATGGAAATTCAAACACTTATTGGAATGTATCGGCTTTCTGTATATATTTTCATGCTCATTTTGTTCACACGTGTAATTCGTTCTATCACTGCGTAACTTTTGTTTCTAAGCCCCCCGGTAATTCATATCAAGTTGAAAATAATTATCACCTTTTATTCGTCTTTAAAATTATTTCTTCAGTTATTAAATATTAATTTTGCATACGTTGTAACTGTTTTCTAATCCTATGCAATCTTGTCTCTAAGCCCCTTGTAATCTATACTCATACCGTCAAACTTTCATATCAAGTTAAAAATTAATTATCTCCTTCGTTAATATGTGGAATTTTCAACAACTAACTAATAATTGTATCCATGTCAACTAATGCGATTTTACAGCCATTTTTGAGGATGAAATCGCCGAAAAGACAGTTGTCTTTTTGATGCTGAACCGAAAAAGTTGTGACTTTAAAGCTGTAACTTTAAACCAACTACCGAATTAAAAGTTGATCGTGTGTGGAATGTCACTTTGGTAGTTTATTCAAGTAGGAGATGTTTCCATGCAGGAGTTAATGTTTAAATCATCTACGTATGCGTAGTGTGAATGTGATAGAACATCTGAGGAGATATTCAGTGCTACAACAGTAGATAAAACAGTTATCTTAATTTATGGAAAATTGAACTACTCAAGACCAATTCGAATTGATTCGAATGGTGTTCTAGAGGTATAAACAGACGAATTTTGATATTTCTCGCCTTGACATCGCTTTGTTTCGGTTACTTTGAGGAAAGGAATAAGAAGAAGACATCTTTTACATGTAGAATCATTGAGGATTAACCGCTAAATATCATGATGATAATGTGTTGTGAAGTTTGCCCAATAAACTCGTTTTTTCACTTATCACTGTTTTCTTCTCCTTCACGTTCTCCAGTGGAAGATAGAGCAGCTTCAATCTAATGGCTTGGAGTTTCTGCAGCAGGATGGGGTTGCTAGCCAGCCTCATGCCTAACCTTTCCTCTTTACCAGCATTATTTTTGGCTTAGCTAGGTAAAGGAGTGCATCGGCAGACGGGGATCGAACCCCGGACCATTTGCATGGTTGGCAAGCGTCCTAACCGCTATGCCACAGACGCTATGCACTTATCACTTAACAAACATATATTGTAATAAAAAAAAGTAAAAAGCAGAAAATAAGACATTGAAAGACAAATTAACTTACTAACTGAAAGATTTGGTCGAACCAAAATGACGAACAATGAACACAATACAACTGGAAATCTCGTGTACATTTTGAAGGCTGTTTTAGGCGTAAAAATGGGTCATTACTACATATATATATATATATATATATACTAAAGAATTTTCTGTCATATGAGCAGAAATTCATACAAACACCTGCTGATACCTAATCAGTATGCTGTGGAACTGATAAACAGAGCATATCGCCTATTCAGTATTATAAACATGATTTTTAAAAAAATGTTTTCCATCACAAGAATTGCTTTTGATTTGGTTTATCTAGAGGCATAATCATTTTCCTGGAAGTGTAAGCGACCCGTGTAAACACTTCTTATCTTGTGTAGGGCTTCTAGAAGAGAAATATCTGAGAGCAGCATACACATGTAAACTCACACATATGTATATATATATATATGCACAACTCCCTATTCAGTAAACATCATCAAGTCAAAATTACAACAACAACAATCAAAAAAATGTTTTTCTTGAAGATAAAGCAAATTCTTTACAGGTAAGAAACTGATACTTTGATATAAAATGGCACCTGAGGTGCCTTAATCTGTTGTATTCACAAGAAGGCGTTTCGCCTATCTATTCAAAAAAAATGAATCGAGTTTATAACTTTTTGCTGTCAACAGTTTGATGTTTCCACTATGAGGTTTTAGTGATTTTACCGATCTTAAGGTAGATTTTTTGTTTTTCAGGAACCAACATTACGGATCACTAGTAAATTACTATGGGAAGAAAGGAAAGCTGTACACTGATTAAGGGGAAGATTACTTTGTCAAACTACCAAAGAAAGGTAACGTAGGCCTCTGCAAGAACTGGCGTAGAGTAATGCTCTTTTCCACGTCAAGTAAAATACTAAGTTACGTCATCATGCACTGGATGCAGAACTTCGTCAGCAGGAACAAGCTGGATTAAAGAAAGACATATCATTTGCTGATCGAAATGCGGTTGTACGCATCATCAGTGAACAAGGTTTGGGATAGAAGTCAAACCTCTATCTCAGTTTTAATCGGCTTAGAGAAGGCCTCCTACACAGTTGACCGAGAAGTAATTTGGAAAGTACTACGTTCAATTCGATTTCAGGTTAACATGATTATAGCCAACAGAAAGATTAATAATTATACATAAATACCGATTTCATATTAGTTTGTTTATTAGATGTATCACACACAGAGTGAAACAGTATTCTTTACTGGATGACACAGTGTCGAACACAATTTATTGTTCATAATCATACCTATCAGTTATAATCACATGAATTTGTAACTTGATTTTTATGGTTTTCAAGTATTGGTTTCGTAGGGATTTTGTGTTTGACTGCATGGAGGATTTCATCATTAGATGACATCAGTTAAAAAACCAATGGAAAACCAACTGGGAGTACTGGACAGCTGTTTTATCCTTGTTCGGGACTCTTCACCGGTACGCACCCACCGGGGTTCGAATCCAGGACCTTCCGGTTACAAGACGAGCTCGCAGACTATTGAGCCACTGGGACCTGATCCAACGGCCAACTCGTGAATTCTAACTTCTGCCAATTCACGACATAGCGCAACCATTTCACAATGTCTTCTTCTATGAGTTACTGCCTCATCTTCAACCTGCTGTACCCTACTGGTTACGGCTTCCCACTAGAACCCCAGGTTAACTGCCTGAATAGGGCCAGTCACTAGTGAGCATCAGATGAATTTTCAAGTATTGGTTTTGTAATGATTTTGTTTGATTGCATGGAGGATTTCATCATGAGCTTTTCTTTATTCCTTCCTATTCGTCGTAGACGTGGTAGTAGAATTTTCCAGATGTTCGGGTGATCAGGTGTTGAATCGTTCCCAATACACATATTTTCAATTGATTCAATGATCAATAAAGCTTCCGTTATCAATCTCTCCCACCACTATGTGACATTAGATTTTAAAACTGTCATCTTATCTCATCCCATACTATTGAATGGTTTTGTAATTGCATGTGGTGTAGTGCTATAGATGAACTATTCTCTAGATTTCTTATCTTATTCGGTCAACTAATCGACATTTTCCTAGGTTTTAAGCTCGACTAGCCTGGCTGCCCCTGTTCTACTAGTTTGACCTATGCATTTTACCTGACAAGCATTGCAGGCTAGTATGTTAGATAAACTAAATTGTTCTGTTTAATTGGTTCCACTGTCAAGATCCTCTAACCAACAAGGCTTGTTTCTAATTTAGTTTGTGGGTAGTTTGAATGGCAGCCACTTTTATTCCTGTCTGCATTGTGGATTCTGAGGTCCCTTCTTTGTAAAGAAGTACTACTGATGATTTGGATTCCTTATTGTTGGTGTTGTCATTATCCTGAGCATGTTTGACGTGCCTGTCACCATTAGCCTTATTATTGTCACTATCACTACTATTGTTATTTATTTATGTGCGTCGGTGGCACAGTGGTTAGGACTCTCGCCGACCATGCACATGGTCCGAGATTCAATCCCCTGCGGACGCACACCTGATATCTATGGTCTTTTTGCAAAATTCGGACTACCGATATGCATGCTAAAAACTCCATACTTGTACCAAAAGCTGTAATCAAAAAAAAATTTTATTTTTACATTTCCCTACATATTTCTCGGCTAATTTATCCGGGTAGTTATTAAGTTTTAAGGCTTCTTTTACGTGTATCATTTCCTGTCTTAGATTTTCCTTGGTACTTATCAATTTTTTATCAACCTTATTCAAAAGCTATATGACAGTGACAAATATTAGGTGATCCATAACGGAAAACTCAGCGAATAATAATAATAATATAATCACTTTATTCCACAACAATAACAATTTACAGCATGGAATTTTCAGCGTTTCTTTTACATATTGCAATGGTTTAGCTCTGTTTATAATTATATAAATGTATAAAATGTTAAAATATTGATAGTTAATAGGAAAAAATAAAACCTCAACAAAATCACACCATTGCTAGGTCATAGTGAATAATAAATAAATAATATAACAAATAACACATGCATTAATATGCATCATTACATTTTATAGTTTAGTTAATGATTCAAAAGTTGTAAAAGTTCTTTTCTGATATTTGTCTCTTCACACAATACTCGTGCCAAATATGGAACGGTCGAATTTTTATATTTTGTAGTACGAGCATAAATGTTTATAAAATTTCTTCTGGTCTTACCCGAAGAGATACAAGGAAACAATTGTGAATAAAGAGGATGTTCACTATCAGATAAGATAACTTTAGCTAAGTGTTTACAAGAATTCATATGCCTATTGACAACAGTGTCATTTAGTTGAGTCAAAGGGATAGCACTGACCCTACTTACAGCCCTCAATGTTCTTCGTAGTATTATATGGTCTTTCTTGAGTAGCCCAGGGAAGAATAATGGAGAACAATAAAGAATGATGGGCAAAACACATGAATTAATAAATTGTATGATAAGAGATTGGGTTATACCTGAGTGTCTCAACTTCTTTATGTAATAAGTCAGACGGAAAACTTTCTTAGAAACTATAAGAATATGAGACGACCAGCAAAGGTTTGAAGAGAAACTAATGCCAAGATAAGAAACACTTGACTTACTCTCTATCATGGTACCATCAATATTACAACAATCATGAGATTGAATCAATCCATGCATGTCTTTTTCACTTCTCAAGCTGAAATCAACAGTGTTACATTTAGTTGGATTTAGTTTAAGACCATTTGAGCCAGACCAATCCTTAACTTCAGCTAAGAAGCCATTCATATGGGAACAATCCGATGTGGAAACTACAGGGACAGAAACGGTCAGATCATCAGCATACTTAATGAAGTTAACTTTGGGTGAGTTCGGAAGGTCATGCAAAAAGAAAGAGAAAAGAAATGGAGAAAGTACTGCACCTTGAGGCACACCACTTTCAGTTAGCTGAGAAGTGGAGCGCTTTCCAGCCAAAACAGTATGCTGTTTCCTATCCTTAAAATAAGAAGACAGCCATCTAGTTGCCCAGGACTCTGTTTGTGCTGAAATCATCTTTCCTAATAAAAGTGTCCTAGGAACAGAGTCGAAAGCTGCAGTATAGTCTAAAAAAGCTGTTCGAACGAACTTAGCACCCTTATCAAGGCAGGAAACAATATTGTGGTGTAGTACAATGGCTGCATCTAATGTACTTCTTCCACACTTATAAGCAAACTGCTTAGGGTCACTAAAAGCTTTTAAAGAAGGTTTAAGAATATTCAAAAGAAGTTTCTCCATAGTTTTCAAAAAAGGAGATGTTATAGCGACCGGTCTAAACTTTATACCTGCTCCAGAAGATGATTTCTGTACAGGTACAACCTTGATTTCTTTCCAGTCAGCAGGTACCGTTTCCCTGTTAAATGATGCGTTAAAGATTTGAGTAAGAGGATGACACAAGATGTCTGCACACTTTTGAAGAAGAATGCTTGGTACACCATCTGGACCAAGGCTATGTGTTGGATTTAATGATTTCAAACATAATAGTACATCCTTTTCTTTAAAACCCGGAAAATGACCATTTTCTTGACTAGGTACATCAGGTACAACCATATTAATTTGTTTCTTGATAAATGATTTGTTTAAAGCATTAACATCAGAATAAGCATCAACAGACATTTGTTTTTTACTTGTAAGTTTATTGAAAAGTTTCCAAATGTTTGAAGGATTTTTACATGATAAAAATTTTTCATTATATAGTCTGTTCAACCTTTCTATTTCAATTTTTATAAGGGTGTTTATTTTACGGACACCAGTATTATCACAATTCTTATACAACTTCTCTTTTTGTCTTCTAAGTTTTTTCAGTTGCACAGAAGAGATTCTGTCAAATCTCGAAAACAGTGTTTCATATGGACAGCAAATTTCCAAACAAAACTTCAGATAATCGGTTATATTAGAGACAGTAGCATCCAACTTATCGTCAGTAAATAGTTCCCAGTTGGTATCATGCAACATGCTTCTTAATGCTAGAATGTTGTCATGGGAATATGAACGTTCATGTATCTTCTTTGTTAAATGACTAAACAATTTTCGTTGTAACTTGCCGTACACTTTCGGTAAAATACG